TCTAAATATTATTCATTTCATCCGCGGGATTCTATAATCTATATATATACGCAGAGTGAAACACCAGATATAAAAGGAAATTATTGTTTTGAATAAAAGAAGACCATAAAAGTGAAGCTTACCGTGAGAAATGTTTTCTCAAATCTAATTTCTTTATAAAAATTAAACCATACTCTTCAAAAACTCTACATAAATTATATTCATTCCTATGGATTTTAGATATTTCAATGCATTTATAGCATTACTAGTAACAGATTCTTCAATAAAGTCTTAAATTAGCTATACTATAGCCGTTGTGCCTGCCTCTCTATGCGCTTCTCATGTGTCTTACTCGTTCATGATGTTCTATGCGATTTGTATGTGCTTATTCCCTTCTTGACGCATACTCTTGGCTCATGCTCTGTTCAAGATTTAGTATAAGATACTCTATAGGCACTATTTCTGCCGCTCTATGCGCTTCTCATGTGTCTTATGCGAGGTGTGTTTGAATCAACTTCTGGCCAGAATATTCGATTTTTTTTTGAGTAATATTCAAAACATATTTTAATACACTAAGCTACTCTATAGCCTGCATTTCCGCCTCTCTATGCACTTCTCTTTATTCAAACAATTCTTTACTCAGCCTCTGGCCAGCAAGGCATTTTTGTGATTGCTGCTGCGATCTTGGCCAAGTCAGTCACCTACCTGTTGATTAGATGCTGCTGCTGCTGCTGCTGCTGTTGTTGCTGCCACATGTTTGAGTTTGAGTCTGTGGCACACATCACTCACATCAGGTGGTGCACTTGTGCTGCCATTTCCGCTGCACTGACAGACTAAACGATCTGTGAATGTGTCTACAGCTAGCCAACGCCCAGTCGGTGAGTACTTGCTTATTCACGTTCTAGAAGCATGCATGTACAAGCATAAGTATTTATAAATTCAAATTTCGTTCTCAACTTTGACTCTTGTACTTCGTGTGCTGTAGACACGTTCACACCAACAAAAACAACAACAATAACAATAGCAGCAGCAACAATAACAACAACAACAATAACAACAACGACAAACTGCCGCTTTTGTCATTAGTTTCTTGTTTCAATTACGCGAGCTGCCTTTTAGATTTTCCTATAAGTCTTATTCATTGCTCCCACTCGTATGGTTTAGTGCCATTCACTAAATTGACTCACGGCTATTTTGGAGCACTTGTTCGCTTAAGAAAACCTACCCTCCGCTCAGCTCCCACAGCCAGGGCGCACACATATGTACATAAAAGCAAACAGATGTTTTATAAGGCTCTTATTTAGAGCTGATTAAACAATTAGCACACAATCATTCAAGTCGTTTAAACGATTTAAGAAAGAAAATCTTTAATATGGCCTTTCTTTGCGATTTTCATAAGTGAGATTAAGTAAGAGAGCGCCAAAAGAGTGAAAAGGGAGATAGAATTGATAATTGAAAAGGGAGAGAACGAGAGAAAAGTAGACAACATTTTGAGAGTGCGTGTCATAGAGAGAAGAAGATAGAGAGAATGGAGAAGATCGAGAGAGTACTCTATAAATTTAACAAATATATATGTATATTTCTCAGCAGCTTGTTGGTACTTAATGTCATGAGAATCGCATAGAAGGGCAGCCCACTTTTATGAAAGAAATGGAGAGCTTAATCAAAATATCAAGTATATATCAACATTTTACTAACGGATTGGTGTTAAATATAGATATTCTTTAGGATCGAGCTTATTTCTTTAAGTCCGATATGTGTGATTTTTTTAGCGGAACCAAAAACTGATAGTTCCGAGTCATTCGTGAGGCGATGATACGTTTTATCAGTAGATAACTGTCGAGCATAGCATAAGTTCAGAGACGGAGAGAACACGTTTAACCAGATATCGTAACCCGAATGGGATACAGTCTGGCGTCTAGATAACTGCCAATCGCTGGCTGATTATGCCAATTGCCAGAGCGCCGCTTAATTGCAGCCAAATGCGGCAGTTGTTGCTGCACCTCCGCCGCAGAAGTGGCAGGCGATTGTGCCCATAGTTGGGTATCGCAGTTGCAGTTGCAGTTGCAGTTGTCTAAATTTGACAGTTGTATGAGATTTATGACGCGGCACACTCGATCATATTTGACTTAATTGACAGCGGCAGCCACGACAAACTGCCACCAGAGACACGCCGACTCATAGCCAGCCAGCCAGCCAAACTGGAGGCGTTTGCTAGGGCGTTCGTGGGCGCGGCCAGCATTACGTTAGCCCCCCGAATTGGGGGCAGGGCGCACTGTGTGGGCTGCCTCAAGGCGTACGCCCACTGCGGCAGCTCTAACTGCAGCTAGTATACATCAGATATTAGGCCCTAGGCATTTTAATCCTTGAAATGCATGAATGATATTTCATGTTAATAGAAGCACTTTTCCTTTTGAATATGTTTGTCATGTTTCCATTTGGTATTACCAAAGAGCAGCATTCGTTACAGCATCTATGTTAAGAGAGTTAACAGCACGCTGTTATAAGCTCACTGTTAAGTAATGTAGATTAACAGCGGCTCTAATTTGCAAATGGTGGCTCTTCCATAAACTCTACTCTGAACTTTACACAACACATGCCAGCTCCTCTCGTACCCAACTATGTTCATATATATATATATACATATATATATACATAAATCTGCGATCTGTTCAGCAATTTAACATATATATGATACATACATATATACAGCAAATATGCCAGACTTTAATAGAGCATATAAAGAAACTGTCTGATTTTTCCACTTGAGATTTTCTAAGGCCAGCTCGCAAAAAAAAAAAAAAAACAAGCAGCTTATGAAAGTTATGCAATTTATCTAGAAGCTGTACGAAAATGTTCGCCTTGTCTAACGAATATTCTTATCTATCAGATATGAAAGTCTTTTGCCAAATGGCTTGCAGTTATGCCAACAGATTAAGATGAGTGACTAACTAGAGGCGGCTGCCTAACTGGCCAAGTTTTGTCAACGCTCAATTACCCAGCAGCCGTCGCTTTAGTCATGTCCCCCCCCCCCCCTCCTCCACCCCCCTCCACTCTCCCTCTCTCTGCCCCGCTCCCTCTCTCTGTCTCTTAGCAGGCTGTATAGACAGACGTCGCATTAGCCGTTGAGTTTGATGCGATATTCTGTGTTGCGTCTCTGCCACAATGCGCTCTGCTCGTATCTTGGCACTTGCCCCGTGTAGCTGTTGCTGTACATGTATCTATGTGTGTTCCTCTCACTCACTCTGTGTGTGTGTGTGTGTGTATTTGTGTGTGTCATTTGAGCAGCATTTATGCGGCACATTCAACATTATCAGCATTTATTCTTCTTGGTTTTTATTTCGCTATTTTCCAGCGTAATTTCATAGCCAGCCAAACGGTTGGTAGAAGTCGGCGTCGGCGTCGCCGGAGCTGAAGCTGAAGCTGAGGCTGAGGCTGAGGCAGAGGCTGAAGTCGGAGTCGGAATCGGAGCTGGAGTTGGAGCTGGTGCTGGTGCTGGTGCTGGAGTCGGAGCACGACAAGTGTTGCTGTTGTTGCCGCCGCCGACAGCGCTGATAACAATGTTGATGATGAAAGCCATCGATGTGAGCTGTGAGCTGTGATGATGACGCTGGAGCTCATGTTGTCTATGTGTGCGTGTGTGTGTGTGTGTGTGTGTGTGTGTGTGTGTGTGGACACACACATGAACAGCTTCATATAAAACATATAAAGTTGCGCTTTATCAACAATGTGTCCAATTTATGGGACGCTGCCTGCGAATGGTTCTGGCTGCAGCTCCGGCTTTAGCTCGTTGCCACTTTGCAGCAGCGTTTTTTCTTCTTCATCATTTCTTGTTTTTTTTTTTTTCTGTGTCGTCTCTCTTTTTATTATTTTTATTGCTTGCCGCGGACTGCACTTAGGCAAAGTGCAGTCAACCCGCTCACCACCCGAAAACCCAACCCACTACCCCCCCTCGAACACCCCCACCCAGCTGGCCCTTTGCTGTTGGCATAGCCATCATCAGCTCCTCACAGCCGCTGCATTTGTCACGTGCAGTGCGCGACCCAAAAAGATAACAACAATGATTTCATCGTAATTGATTTCGGAGGCCCCACCTCACCAGCACCCCCCCTCCCCCTCCCCCTACCACCAACCACCTGACAAGCACTTTACACCTTTCATTTGAATTACGATTGCGGCACTTGCAGACGTAATTATAAATACACACAACTTGTAATTCCGTAATGCAACCAATTGAAGAGCTATCAGACTATTATTCGCATTATTATTAGTTATTATTAATTATAAAAAAATAAACAAAATATGCACTTACCTTGGATTCGAACCAGCATCCTCCTTATTTAATATCAGTTTTAATGTATATCTAAAATACACAAAATATTAGTTCTCATCTTTATTGGGAAGATTTAGAATGTTTTATAACATACCTATACTCACTTTGGATTCGAACCAGCATCCTCCTTATTTAATACCAGTTTTAATGTATATCTAAAATACAAAAAATATTAGTTATCATCTTTATGAGGAAGGCTTAGATAATAAAACGTACTCACCTTGGATTCGAACCAGCATCCTCCTTGTTCAATATTAACATTACCATTTAGTTATAATACACAATAATATTTGTGTATATTTAACAAAATTATTAGTTCTTATCACTATTAAAGCAGCTCAGAAGAAATTACACATATACACTTACTCGTATTTAAAATGCACAAAAATATTTCTGTAAATTTAACAATAATAATATTTCTCATCACTTACCTTGGACTCGAACCAGCATCCTCCTTGTTATATTTTAATTTAAATGTATATCTATAATGCACAAAAATATAAGTTAACATCTTTATTAAGAAGGTTAACAGAATAAAAGATACCTTTACTGAGCTTGTAATTCGAGCCAGCATCCTTTTTGGTAAATATTTCTCTTAAAGTATATCTGTAATGCACAAGAGTATTTGAATAAAATTAACAATGATATTAGTTCTCATCGTTATTAAGGCAAGTCAGGCAATGTAACATACCAACACTTACCTTGGATTTGAGCCAGCACCCCAGCTTTGCTGTTGCAGCAAACGAGACCTAAATAAAATAAATAGGAATAAGAACTTCTTATAAGCAAACATATCACATTGCATAACATATGCAAAACAGTTACCCTTACAAAGGTATTATGCATTTATCTTCAATTGTTTTTTTTTTTATTTACACATTGACAGCCCTTAATGCCTTTATCAAGACAGATGCGGCTGGCTCGGAGGAGGAATAAAATTCATCATATTTCAAATGTTTCGCTTATGTTTATTGCCGATAATACATATATATATCTATATATATATGTATATGCTTGTATATGTGTGTTGTTTGGCAATTCTTGTTGGACATTAATCCCTTTATTTTTGGCATTTATTTAATTGGCAAATTTTTAACACACACACGCAGCGTGTGTGTGGCACGTTTGAAACAATTTGTGTGTGTTTTATTATTTTTTTTTTTTGTTAAGTAATATTTGCATAAATCCATTTGACTGCCAGTTTTAATACCCTGTGCACAATCAGCTTATGGGCATTTCTGATGATTCAAGAAATTATAAATATAATGGTGGAACTTTCTGTTTTTACTTTATTAAGTAATTTTATTTGGGTTGGGTATTTTACTAACACCAAAATTTGTATCTATGTTATACTCTGGTATAGTCTAGGCAGATCCAGAATATTTCATGTTTATTACTGAAAATTGCACAAAGATCGGACCATGAAGACCGATGTAAACCGCCAAAGGAAGAAAGAAGCAGAGCCGCAGCAAGCGGCGTGCATGTGTGTGTGTGTGTAAGGAATAATGCTTTTAACAACAGCTTGGCGTTTAGTTCAGGGTATCAAGTAGTCGGGCACTTCCGACTCCAAGCTTCATTTCTTTTTTTTGGTTGGTTGTGAAGCGTTTCACGGCTTTTTTTTTTTGGCTTTGACTTTGCCCCCCGCAGCAGAACAGTTCCACACGGACCCCTCCTACACCCTGGGCAGTCCGTCAGTTTTTCCCGTTTGCTGTGTGGTGCACGTTGCTTCTTCCTTCTGGTTTGTCTGCAGGCGTTTTGCCAGTTGATAGATTGCAGCTGGTCTGGTCTCTGGGGCCGATTCAAGTCCTCATGCAAAAACATTCAACGAGCTGCGATGTGGTTTTTGTTGTTGTTGTTGTTGTTGCAGTTGCTGTTATTATATTGTTGCATATTTTTGTATGCGTTTCTCGACAATTTTTCATGTGGTGTGTAGCCCAGCTAATGGCTATTAAAGCAGCTCAAAAGTCCGTGTCCGTGTCCGTGTCCGACTCCAAGCCAAAGTCGTGTTGCATCGAAATGCGTTATTTTTTTTTTTTTTTGGTTTTTGTTCTTGTTGTTTTTTGCCTGCTCCCAGCCAAATTGCGTTTTGTCGCTTTGCTCGTGCATTTACAGTTTTTGGGCTAATTTATTATTGCATAGGGCTGGTTTGTGGTGGCGGTGCTGGGTGCGGGGCGCGTGCGGTGGAGGGGTGTCAGTTGGAGAGCTGAGCGCTACTTGTTCGCCACGCTATATTGCAGGCGGGCTCATCTGTCAAACGAGCTGTCAAATTATTAAGCGCTGCCAGACATGTGAAATATGTTCAGTAAGGAGCCAGGCTTAGCCACAAATACACACACACACACACACACACACACATGCACACAGTCACACACAGATACACACGCAGACAGACATAAATGCAAGCTCTCAAGATTGATCACCATTAGCGTCTTTGTTGGTGCTCCCTGCCTCTGAGCACCCCTCGACGCCGGGCTGCACTCGTTTTCTTCTTTCTTTTTTTTTTTTTTTTTTTTTGCTGACTGCACTTCAGTTTTCAGGGGCAGCACAGCAATTCGTCACTCTTTGGTAGGTGGCGGCATGTGGCAAGAGCCGGGTGCTGCCGCTTGGCCACTTGACCAAGTTTTCTGCTTTTCCATGCATTGAACGCTTCAAGTAATTCATCAGCCACGCATTCTCATTGTTTAGTTTTTCACGTTTTCAGCATTTTCAGCCGTCCACTGACGCATGACACCCTCACCCCTTTTCGGGCACGCCGCTTGCGGATGCGGATGCGGATGTGGACGCGAAACACGCATTCGCGTCGATTTGCTTAATTGGTAATGAGTGTTGGGCCCACAATGCCCATGGGGTCTTCGCTTAGCAAAGCATAAGAAACCATTTACAGCGACTTTGTTGCGTCCAGCAGCGTACTTGGCTGCGTCTATGCAACGGGCGTGCTGCGAATACAGTTCAAGTCACACATATACTGCCCTTCTATGCAATTCTCATTAATTCAATTAAGGCATGTTTCCATGCTTTGGCTATAAACTGTATAAAAACATTATGTGTGATCCACTTCAACTGCACTCATGCACTCTCTCTCCCTCTCTCTCTCTCTCTCTCTCTCTATATATATATATATATATATATATATATATATATATATATATATATATATCTCCCACTCACTATCTCTCTGTCTCTGTCTCTCCTACTGCTCTTAATCTAGCCCGCCTGCTAAAAGATGACAAGAATATAATAATTTTGTAACAAATAACACATATTATTGTATATTGCCCTTCTATGCAATTCTCATGAATTCAATTAAGGCATGCTTCCATGCTTTGCTCAAACTCGCTCTCTCTCCTCACGCACTTACCAACTAATACTAAATCGAATCATATTTTTAGAAATCAAAAACTATTTTTAGCGTTTCCAAAAATATTTACACTTACAGCAACTACACATGACGTTTAAATAAGAGAGAGAGCGAGAGGAGGAAGAAGAAATCTTTAACTGGTTGAGGGAGCATCACATTTGCGTTGTGTCATGCTGTAGATATAAATTTTCATTTTGCCGTTTTACGACCCGCTCTTATCACACTTGCCGCTGTCGTCAATCAAAATGCGGCGACTCGGTTCGACTTGCGTGGGTTTTTCTTGCTTTCGTTTTTTTTTTTCGCTTTGCCCCTTTAGCATTTGCTTGCCACCTCCCACTCTATGGTCAGCCGCATGTGATGTTTCTATGGGCGCTGCGTGGTGCGTGTGAAGTTTTTAATTTTTCAACTTTAATTTAGACAATTCTTCTATTTCGCACGCCGGCGCACAGGCGACGAAGCGTGGCGACGGCGACGTCGACTCCTACTCCAAAAGTGAAGTAAAAAAAAATATACAAGAGAGAGAGAGAGAGCAAGAAAAATTAATGAAAAGACAACAATAAATAGTTGTTAGTTGCACGTCAGCAGCCACAAACAAAAATCCACAAAATGTCAGCGAGAAATCAACAAAGTGTCGGACATGTCCAGCATAATGAGATCTAATGGCAGCACCTGGCTCCGTGGCACTGTGGCACCGTGGATTGCAGGATTGCAATCGCGCACTGTCGCGCCGGCGCTCTAAATTGAAGGTGTCAGCAGGCTGATCTTCAGCCATCTTTTCCACCAAGTGCTCTGAATTGACAAAGCTTCACAGAGACTCACAAACACACACACACGCGCGCGCATAGGGCGCATCCACATCGAGCCAACTGCTATGCGTGCCTGTCCGGCCAGGCAATTTGCTTTGGGGCGTGGCCGCAATTTGGCCAAGATGTGCAGGTAGCCAGCAGAAGCTGCACAGCTCCAATTGATGCTCAGGTTTTATGTGGCCAGAGGCACGTGGCCAGCAGTGCGGGGTCAATGCCTGGCTGCTGCATTCACAGAACGAATACAGTTAGCTGAAAGTCTCACAAAAACACTGGGAACACTTGCAGCCAATAAGCCCTTTTCACTACGGGGCAATGGGAACAGTTTTAGGATTAACTATTTAAGCAGATAGACGAAGTAAAATCTGATATCCCTGACAGTTTGCATCGATATCGTAAGATACAATTTGCTATGCTTGCCACTTGGGAAATTTATAATAATTCAATTAAGTTTAAATACTCTTTCTATATAAAAGTTGTGACTGTAATACTCAAGAGAATTCCCTTCTAATCGCTTCTCACTTGTCAGCAGTGAGAATTTTAGAAAATCAAAGAGTTACAGGATTTTGATATTTGAATCATCGAATAGATGTCACCAATATAAAGTAAACATTTTCTTTCTATATAACAGCTGTAACTGTTATGCGTATAACAGAACGGACCCTTCTAGTCGCTTCTCACGCACCAGCAGTGGAAATCTTATATGTTATATTTTATTATTATTTCATTGACGATTATTTTGTATGCTTTGATCGCCTAAGCTTGAAAACAAGCTCACCAAGCCCAATGCACTTTGCATGAGTTATTGCTGCTATTGGGAAACACATTCGAAAATACAAATGTATCTTAAAGATGCTGTGCGTGAACTGTGCGCCGGAAATCGAAGCTTACCAAAGTCAGAAATACCAACTACAACAACAACAACAACCACAACCACAACAATAAGTAGTTGAAGAGGAAGAACTGCATGCAGCATTCGGCACACAACGCAGACAGCCCCACAACGATGGAACTTCGAAAACGAAACCCAAAACTCGTTGCGCATTTTTGTTGGGAAGCTCCGTGGCAAGTCTGTTTCATATCAGCTTTTTGTTTCAATGGCCGCTGGCCAAGTGCAGCAGCTGCTTTGACTATGCAATGCACTTTGTAACCGCAACCGATTCGATTGTTCATATATGCCTATCTATAAGCCATATGGCCCACTTAATGTCAAGTTCTTAAAAAATAATAATAATAACAGCAATAATAGTAGTAATCGATTGGCGAACAGCCCAAATTTTGTAAGCGCTCTTAGCCCATAAGCTGCAACATTAGGGTATTTGGGATTCGTTGAGCTGCGAATTTATTGGCTAGCCAGTTGCCATTGCTGTTGCTGTTGCTGTTGCTGTTGGGCTGTCAAACTCACAGAGACCGTCTGACTGGCTTCCTGGATCTGTGTTGGCATGGACTCGCCTCTCGCTCTATCTCGCTGGGCAAGAGCCGGGCGACCCGACCCAGCGAGGCACGGTGAGGCAAGGCCAGGCCGTAGCTGCTGCTATCTGACTGTAGATTTATTGTGTGAATTGGCATTGACAAAGTGCATTTATTGGCGCTCGTTGCTTTTTATAATGTGTTTTGATAACAATTCCATTAAAGTGAAGAAGTTTATAATAATTTGAACTGCCAAGGCAGGCAGGCAGCAGAGCCAGGGCTTGTGTTCAGTTTCAGTTGCTTCGGCGCATTCTGATGCCAAACTGCAACTGCATTGATTTTTCGTTTTAATTGATTGTTGTCAGTCAATCACATTGTTAATGCACATGCCCAGAATACTACATAACGTACAACTTTCTGTATGTTGTGCGTGTCTGTGTGTGTGTGTTGGTGTGTGGTGTGTGTCCGTACTTTATTGCATTCAATTTGCTGTTGTTTGTCAATTAGTTGCTGCCTCTTGGTGCTCATATGCCCGAATGTGTGGGCGTTTGACTGTTCTTCTTGTTCTTGTTGTTGCCGCTTGTTGCTGTGCGTGGCAAGCAAACAGCCAAAGTTTTAATTGGCTGCATTATTTATTGTTTTTCACTTTACCGAACTGCCAGCGGCGACCACAGCCCCACATTTACAAGCCTTACCGGCGGCACACATCCACCATCCAACCATCCAGCCATCCATCCATCCATTCATCCATTTATCCATCCAACTCATGCTACATTTAGTCAAGTTTACTGCACTTCAAAAATAACAAAAAAAAAAAATAAGTGTGTAAGCCTTCAAAACCTTGGTCAAATTACAAGCTCATAATTCATTTGGTCGATGAGCCTGGCGAGCGAAGGGGGTCTAATACAAACATAACACTTCATATACTTGCTCTACACCTTTCATTCATTTTAAGGCATCAGCTCGTGAACACTTTAAGTCTGCCAATATATTGTTAAGCTCCGAAATGCATTAATAAACAAGCATTCACTTATCAAAAGTATGAGAATAGATAATACCACGTATTTAGATCAGCTACCCGTATATAAAGGTATCTTATTTTTATTATTTATTTTCTTACATTTTTTATTATTCATTATTCATTATGAATTAATCATTGTGCATTTTTCATAGTGAAATTTTTTTATTTATTATTATTTGATATTTATTATTCAATATTCATTTTGTTTAATGCATTATTCATTGTTCATTATTCATTAGTTATTATTTTAATAATTCATTATTTATTATTATTATTATTATTAAATAAATCTCTGCAACACCAATCACAACTTGCTATCATAGCGAGCTAACATCGATAATTATCGAGAATAAAGATTGCCCAATACTTATAGCTCTATTCACGCGACTCGTCATTGTATTCAAGTGTATAAGTCCAATATAAAGTAAGTAAGGACAACAAAATGCTTTAAATTATTGAATAATACCCTTTCGCTTAAACATTTGTTTACATATAGGGTATCAATTGATTCTCAGTATTGTGTTTGTATACACAAATTTATTTATACCACATATAAATAAACGTTTTATTACAGCCATAAATTGTCGCAAATTGTCATATTAATTTGTTTATTGGCTCGACTCTTACGGATTCGAAGTTTCAGTAGCCAATGAAATAATAATTTATGCACTCATATCTACTTGGATTTGTGTATCTGGATCTGTATTTCATCAACTGTCTGACTCAGCAGTTGTACGGTTCAGAGAGCTGTTAATATATGGTAAAAGCAAACTTAATGAAACATATCGCAAGATGTCTGCTCATAAATTCTAATGGATTAGCACCAGAGAGCAGTTTCCATTTACAGTTAACCTAATTCAATTATGACTCCCAGCCGGATCGTGGTCTATGAAACGTTTATCTATTGTTTCATATGTAGAGTTCAACTTACGCCATGCAGAAAATATGTATTTGCAACCGCAATTCCTAATGTTCTCGCATTTACACGCTCAAGAGCACCGATTTTGATCAATTCTGTTTTGTGCTTCATTCGTAAACGTTTTGCAATAAGAGTATTATAATTCGGAAACTGTTTTGGTCTAGGCTTTATTAAGTGCAACCTACCATATATACTTATTAGAAACGCAACAATAACATGTGACTAGGCACTGCACCCATATTTCCAAACTGACAGCAACAATACGAAACACAAACTGTTTGCATAGCAATGCTAGTTATCCATGAATGCTTCATGTATATATGTATATATATGTATGATGATATATATTTGCGCTGCCATTAACCTTACCAAGGGGACAAGACCCGGTGGAGAGCTTTGAGGGAACCGTACGCAGCTGTTGTTGCCTTCAACTATTTGTTGAGCTTAAGGACAATTCGAATTGGGTAACTACCCTGGGCCCAAGCGAACATATGAGTGCAAATGAATGTGAGTGCAAATGTGAGTGTGGGTGCCTTTGGCTGAGTGCGAGTGTGTGTACTTATTATTTTAACTCTTTTGCATTTGCCATGGTGCTGCTGTTGCTGGTGTCCGTGTCTGGCTCCTTCCATTTAGCGCAGATGAAGATTAATTACAGGGAAATTCGTAACATTTTTCATGCTTAATCTTGGCGCTCATCAGAACGCACCCAACTCCCAAGCCCCAACCCCCCTGACACCCAGCCCTATCCGAACTACCCCCATCCTTTTGCCGGCTACATAAGCGGGTCTAAATCAAATGACGCACGTGGAGTAAAACTAACTTATTAATAATAATAATTGTTTTATGTGCGTTTGTTGCTCTCCTCGCCAGCCGCTCAGCCCCGCTGCTCGTTCGCCTATTTGCCGAGCCGGAACATGTGTCACAGTTGGGGGATCACCCGGAGACGGCGGCCACTCGCAACGGGGCTTAAATGTGTGTATTTGAAAAATGATTTCTAGCAGCTTAGCCCAAGAACTGCAATGCATATGGCTTGGAAAACCGACATTGAAACCGACCAACCCCAAAATAAACTAACAAAAAAAAAAAACCGAAACTAGTTTACGCTGTTGGACGCCCTTGCCATTTGACCAGGTCCAACACAGAAGAAGCACAAGTAGATACTCCTTAGGAGGCTGGGTTGATTGACTACAGCATAAAATTACAAATTATATATATATTTTTTTTCGTCTAACAATCTTTTCGGTAATTGAAAAACATATCGAGCTTTGTTAAACTTATTAATATAATTTAACTTGCTTTTAAAAATATTTGCAATGCACTCCAAAATTCTACTTTATTTTCCATCTTTATAGACATTCACGAATACGAATTTTGACTTGTATGTTCTCTTAAGATATTTCGACATATCAGAGAGGAAATATTTGTCTAGGCAAACTTTCTGTCACATCAACAAACTCATGAAAACATTTCGAAAACTTTCTAAAACTGTGCATTTGTTTTGCCTAATTTAAGATGAAATTCGACTAATGAAAATAGAAAAAAAATTTCGAGAACATATTCGAAAAATGTTCGAAAACCAAATTAAATTATAGAAGTCTGCTGTTAGTTAGAACTTTGACCTAATCAATGTTACCTGTCAAAAAATGAAGACTTATGAAAATAGAAAAAAAAATGCCCCAAATTTGCGGATGTTAATTTTGTAAAAATGCTGTGTACTTACCTAAATTATCTCGTTCAATTTCAATTATACGTCTTTTTGCAGGCTTTTCGAAATTTAAAATATGACAGACATGAGAAACTTTTTATAGAATCCGAAAATTAATTCACTGCAAAAAAGATAATAATAGTAAATCATAAAATTTTAAAAATATAAATTTCAAAAAATATAAATATATATAATTTTTTACTTTATAGGGTATACATACAGCGGCTAATTTTTGTTGGAGCCAAGCTGACTGTCTGTCAGTTTGTTTTTGTTGAACGACTTCTTACGACTGCTACCTGTTCGAGGCTGGGCGATGGTGCGGGTCTCTTAAGTGGCCTGCTGGTCAGCTAAAGCCGCCGGAGACATTAATTTTATTGTTTGGACTGCGCGCGCGCAAGATCGAAATCTTCAATCTTGAGTGTTCTTGTGGCGCAGTTATTGATTGTTTTAAATTAGGGTCAACTATGCGGCGCGAAGCGTCCAGGTTTCAGTTTCCAGGCTGCGGGTTGCGGGTTCCAAGTTGCAGGTTCAACAGTTGCGCCCCCCGCTCTCGGCATGCTTCAGGTAGCAATTTCTTTTAATTACAAGCTCCGCTTTCGAGGCACAACACTCGCGCCGATAACCAGTCGTCGCCGCTGCAGGTGTTGCCAGGCAGTTAGCAGGCGCAACTAATGTCTAGATAATGGGCCCCCACTGACCTCCCCCCCGACAGATGACCTGCGACCCACCCGACTGTTGGCCAGCAGACAGAAGCCAGAGGTAGAAAACACAACAAACCTCATCCAGAAGCAATTGGATTTACGGTGGCAATTTGTAAGTATGAGCCACAAAATTAAATTTTAAACGTTTTCTCAGCTGGTGGCGGAAACTACAAAATACACTGGCCCATAAAAGTACACACATACGTGCATATTTCGATCGTTAGAGATTATGAAAACATAAAGGTTTCATAGCATGAGCAAGTCCAAGCCTAGCCAAGGGCTTAATATGCCCTTTATATAATGAGTTTTAGTCAGAATTTATATACCTAGTTTGAGAACCAATGGAGCGAGAGGGCGAACTTTTTATAATTCAAAATCTTGCCTCTGATGTTCGAAATATGAAGATATTTCAATTGAATAGTTTTTTGATATCACGCTATTTAAATAAAATAGTTAATATGAACTAGAGCAATATGCCGCAAAAACGCAATACATTTATAAGTATTACGAATAAATATTAATATACAAAATTTTAAAATCCAAAAAAATGTATATATATATAAACAAAAATAGAAATATACCTGATAAATAAAAATAAATTAAAAAATAATACCCTTTACAAATAGTTTACCCTCATTCAATAGACATAGCCCTTAGCAAGGCTGCAAAACTAACCGATTTAAGCATGAAATTCTAGAATTTGATTTACCCAGAATCGATGCTTAAATCGGCTTAAGTGGATAATTGCGCTAACAAGAGTTGCAGTACTGCAAATAGGAAAATCGCACATAATTAATTAAATTAATGATAAATTTAGTAGTTACATAGCAAACTTAAAAAACCTGAGCTTAAAGACGGAGCCACAAAATATGTATGTTGCGCTTGGAGCCTTTGTTGAGTTGACCATAGAACATATATATATATATATATATATATGTTTAGTCAAGTCGTTTAGGTCATGGCGCGTTTGGTTTAGGGATTGTAAGTGCTAGATATATACTCGAAATCATAAATAATTTGGATAATGTATAAAATATTAAGGTATCTTCTGTTAAGCTCTTATGTGACTAAAACAATCCAATCAATTGCCTGGATATAGGATATGTAACGATTTTATTTGCCATATATTGATTATATATGCTATATATCGATTACATATGCTAGTACATATCGTTTCAGCTTGTCTGAATTGATGCCACCTGTTTCCTTCAACTGATCAAAAAACGTATAAAAACAAAATTATATTAAATATATGACAAACGTTTTTTGAATAATGTCACAGAAATGTTTTTTCAATGTTTTAGAATATTTTCCACGTTTTTTTTTTTATCAATCACTTCTTAAAGTCTAGTTTACTTTTATTATTTTATTATTATTATTTTTCTTCGCTTTTATTATTTCGTATTTGTTTCTGCTCATACATGTTCTAGAAAATATGAATTTGGTTGTTGTTCTTTATACATTTTGTTGGATTTCCTTCTTCTTGTTGTTGTTCTTTTTTGCTAGCTTTGCTATTTCATTGTACAATAGTTGAATATACGCATGTATGTACAAACATATTAGTTTGTGTGTATATATCATTTTCATATTGGGTGTGTATAACGCATGTTGTATATACTAATTATACATTACACAGATTTTTTTATCAGATTTTTTTTTTTTATTTTGTTAATTTTATACGCATGTCGTGTTCTATACATTGTTCCATTTTGTGTTGTTTCATTTTGTTTAGGTTTTTTTCAGCTTTTCTTATATGCCTAAGTGCATATACGCTTAAGAGTATATGCTTGTATGTGGGCTATATATGCAGGTAGGACATGAACCGTAAAATAACAAAGAGTTGCATACAAAAAATATCATAGGAATACATGTATATCAATATATGTGTATATGGTATAGGTAAGTATATATTTAGTTTTGCATACACATCTATACATATCTATATATATGTATTTGTGTATATGCATATATATGCCTTGGTGTTCAGATGTCAGCTCGATCCTTGCAATTATTGTTTCACGCTGTGCTGTAGATCGTGGATCCATGCCTAGCTAGCTATGTATGTGGGAGGGGTGTGCACGTCTGTGTGTGTGTGTGTGTGTGTCTGTGTAAGTAACTTGATACCCAGTAAATGGAAGTACGACCGAATATATTTTTTTATATGTATGCATATAACGAGATGTCACGATAAGACAATTGATTTGAACAGCTTTTTATATCAGAAGACCAAGTTACCATTAAGTCGTTAGCTTTTTATCTTTATAAATAGTTTAGAACAACGCTTTGTCTGTATATGTGGGTCTGTGTGTGTGAGTCGGTTTTGTGTGTGTCTGTGTAGTATATATACGTAACACCCATAACATAATGCGCCCCATTTGGAATTGTGTCAAACCCTTATATATATGCCCATCAAAATATCTCTTTTTGATGAATCTTCAAAATTGATATCATGATTTGGGCAGCGCGTGTAAACGTTGCATTTCTGTACTAGTCTGTGTGTATATGTGTGTGTGTGTGTGTGTGTGTATAACTGTTTTGGCACACGCTTATACGCTGCAGCCATATCATAAACTTTAACCTTGTTTAAACATGAAATACAATACAATACAGACTTATACTGAATTCAATACTTACTCGCAGTTCATATCATGATTTGTGCGCAGCGCATAAACGTTGCCCATGTGTGTGTGTGTGTTTTTATAACTCTTAGCAATAAAACAATTCTGTGTGTTTTTTTTCTTTAGCCCTTCATCAGCATTATATCTGTCCTTATCCTATACATCTATATATATATATATATATATATATATATGTGTGTGTGTGTGTTTGTGTTGGTGTCTGATGTAGATATATATATATCTTTGGTTGTGTTGGGGTTTTGGTATTGCCTTAGTAGGGATAGAGGTTCTTGCGCTTTAGCTCCATATCGAGATCGGCCAGCTGCTGCAGAAAGCCATCATTTGGTCGTATTTCACGGCGCATGCGCACCGTCCGTATCGCGTCTACGGCGGACATTTTGCGGCAGATCATCAAATAGGCCAGCACACAGGTGGCCGACCGCGACATGCCCACCAAGCAGTGCACCAGAATTTTGCCTAAAACGAATTTGAATTGAAATGAATTGAAGAAAGTTTTATGATATCGAGTTTTGTACTCACCGCCGCTGCTGATGGCACTGTCTATGAATTTGGCTGCCACATAGAAGTAACGGGATATATCTGTCGTTGGGGCATCGATCATGGGGAAGCCCATATATCTAAAAATGCAATCCTTATGTTGGCGTCTAGACACACACACACACATAGATACAAATATGTTGCGAGTAGCACAACACAATGGCCCACAGTGAGACATGATGACAATGCGTTTGGTCAAATGGATGGGTGTGTGAGTGTGTGGGGGTGTGTGAGTGGGTGGGGGTGAGTGGGTGTGTGTGTGCGTATATTTGTGTGATCATGTGTATACATATATACAAACGATGGTGTACGGTGGATGAGATAAAAAGAAAAAGAAATTTTTGGCGTTTTTTTTTTTAGGATCAAAATTTTGTTTGCGTTTTCGCGATAAACCAAAATGCCAGAATCGATATTGAGCAAATAAATCGAGAAGTAATGTGCATGAGCAGACCCCGCATTTTGATCATGAACTCGACGCCTCAACAACTCCACACTCACCTAATGCTGGGCATATCACGATAGTAACTGTGTCCCGTGTCCACCTGACCGTAGCGACAGCCCTCCGCGGCATTCAGCACATGCGTAATGCCCATCATTCGCAAATAGGTTTTGTTTTTGGCCGCCGCGCTGCAATAGGCAGAAGGATCATATTGAGCATTAGCAAGAAATGGAGTTAATGGCGTGCACAAGGACTCACGCATCGCCAATATAAATGCCCGGATAGACCTCATCACAGTCAACATCGTGTATGGCGCACTCGGCACGTCTCAGGCCGGGCAATGTCCGGCACGGGGCCATCGAATAATGCAGTACTCGCTGCAGCTGGCGTCCTGTGGTCTGTTCGGAGGTTTCCAGACGGCTGGGCGACTGCAAGCAAATAGTTAATCAACAATTCGATTGACTCATTTTGTTCAAAATCGTATTTGAAATTTGTTGCAAATATTTGTCATGCGCATATTCGCAAATTATGCTTGGCAAGGTCTCAATTTTTATATGATATGCTGGTTAGTAAATTGCGAGCGTTACTTGAACTGGGCTTAAGAAGTTAAGATGTGGCACATAAGTTTTAGATAAAGAGCTCTGTCTTCCATCAGCGGAAGTTGCGCAAGATGTTAGTTATCAATCAAATAAATTAAATGTGGCTAAAGTTCACAAGACTTTCTAGACTCGGAAAGTCCTCAATAACCGAATTGCCTGAATTTAAATTTAAAAACTACATTTTTATGCACCTATATATCCATGTCTTAAAATGGTTTAGTTTTATCAAAAAGAGTCAAACTTTTCAGCTTTGGACAAGCCACTAACAAAATGTTGGATATATTTAAATATTTAAAAATAATTATTTATAACAAATTGAGGTCTTAAGTCTTGACTTGAACCGCGAAATATTTACTAGCCTAAATGGTAACTATTTGAATTTCTATAAATAAAAAACGGAGAAACATTTTAAATTTTAAGCATTTTAAGGTATATTTAAGTCACATATCAAAGGGTTCTCTATAAATAGACATATTACATGGAGATCGTTAAGCAAGCGACCCAACCCAACAGCATATTTAATATTATATAGCTGCGTTTTCTACAAAACAATTCTAGTATAAATTACATTCATTAACTAGCATGCTTAGCATGCACATTTATGTTACTTTATGCATTAACAATTGTATTATTGATATTAGAATGTGCGCATATAAATGAAAGAATGTTTGTCGCTTGACTCGAGCGGACATCATTTGGGTCAATATGCCGAAATCGGGTTGTTTTGTGCTCGAAGTGCGCGAAAATGTAAATTTGTGTAGATTTTGGCAAGTGGAAATTATTTATGGGCATCTAGAGTACAGAGCGGGTTTTGTTGCCAAAAGCTCGGCCAGCAAATTTGATGGCAAAGGCGAAGGTCGCGCCTTTTCGCGTCCTTGTCTCGCCTGCTCGTTTGTCAATTGTCAGGGACAGTCGCCAAAGTCAATGGGAAAGTGAAACATTTTCTTTTTATTTTTTTGTATATTCTTTCATCTATATTTTCCCTTTCTGTTTTTTTTTTTTCTTTTCAATTTTTTTAGTTCTCATTTTAGTTTCGCTTATCGGCTGTCTCTGCTTTGTCATAACATATTCAAATAAAATCAGCGACAGCGCGGCGCCGAGCAGAGCAGAGCTGGGGGGGCGGATGGGAGATGGGCTTGGCTGGCGGGCTGACGGACTGGCTGGCAGAAGGAGGGCAGAGCAGGGACGCAATGTTTGTTGTTATTGTTTAAGAAGAACTGTATAGAAACTTTTACTTTTGCCGCGGCATTCGACCCTGAGACCACAGCACAGAAGCCAAAAGCAAAAGCAAAATCAGAGAGCAAAAGTTCTTTCACTTTTTCTATTCGATTTTGATCTATTGTGACTGATCTCTGGCATATGCACACACATACAAATACACGCACATATACACAAATTGACACAGCACGACAATTTATCTAGACACACACACATACAAAAACAAACATTATCTATATGCTTAGCTATATATTTGCATATCTCTGAAGCATATTTATACACAACATTAAGATTTGATTCGTTTAGCCACAAGATTTATGCCAACAACAATTTTGAATCTATGGAACATTTAACTTAAGTTAGTTTTCGCCAAGGCCAAGAAGTCTTTTTTTTTGGATTAGAAGTTTTTTTTTGCAAGCAGCAAATGCCTATTAATAAGCTTAAACATTTGGCCATTCGAGCAAAATTAGCATCAAGTTAGTTGTAGCAGTGCTGTACTACACGTTGTTTAAGCACACATAAGGAACGAAATTACACAGCACTGGACGCATGCATTGCGCTTAGGAACTCAGACAAACCTGATAATAGTGCGGACTATATCTATCGCCAATGCTGCTGCTGTATCTGTCGGTGAGTAGCTGTAAAAAGTGTTCAAGATCAAGAGTACAAAATAATCAAAATAGTGTTGCAAAACAACAAAAAAAGAGATAAGCACACATACAGTGTGGACAACAGGAAGAGCTTAAATACCTTATAAACTATGTACAGACTTATGACTCTGGAGAGCATAAGCTGCCGGAAATGACGAATGAAGAGAAATGTTATCGAAAAATGCTGATTTCTAAACATTATTCTTTACACAACGAAGTTTTAAAATATGATTTTATAATTTTTTTTATGTGATTTAATCTTTAAGGGCAAATGAAAACTTAAAACCGAATTGTTGAAAGTCAATATTTATAATATTTAAAAGAATATAATCCCACACATTTTATAAATACATATGTCAATTATAAGTACAAGAAATAGATTATACACAATTCCAAATGGGAACGATATTATTTAAAATGTCAAAAATATATTTTAGAATTAGTTACATTATAGCTTGATCAAAAATAGAAAATATGTCTCTGAAATTGAATTTCATATATGTCAGTCACATCATACGCTATTCCAAAGAACTGCCCAGGCAACGGGCCTACGTAGAAGTCTAGTAATAGCTATATTTAGATCAATTCAATATATACATATGATATAATATAGAAATTTTCTTTGGGGCCAAATTGCAGGTGGCTGACAGCTTTCAAGGAGGGGGATATGAAGATGAGACAGAATCGAAGCATTTCGCCTTCAGGTGCACCAAAAGGCGTTGGCGTCGTTGATTTTGGCTTTTTTTTTTTTGGTCACTGTCGACGCCTTGACCTTGTTCCGCAAAACACAAACAAACAACAAGATGCTCGCTCTAACCGCACATCTATGTGTGCATGTGTGTGTATGTATTCGTATACATGTGTGCGTGTGTCTAAAAATACGGAGCACATGCATAAAACGCTGCGAAAATCGCGGCTAAATGAAAACTGCTCAACGAATAACATTTTCGGCACATTCCTCGAGCGGTTGGAAATATTTTCAAAAATCCACAAAATGTGCTTGCGTGTTGTCCATTCACCCATTTTCCAGCTAAAACAGCTAGCTTTTTTATCAGACGAATGATTGTTAAGTAAATTAGCTTTTTTTTACAGCTTTTTATTGCCCATTCGTGCTCAGCAAGCTAGTTTTGCTATTTTTAGCTGTTGTTAACACTGGATTACGCTACTTTTTTAGCGGCACTTGACAACACTGTTCGAGGAGCGTTCAGTGGGACTCATGCTGTCGACGATGCGTCATGCTGAGGCACGGCGAATGATCAACATTGGGTGTCACCCGCATGTCGAGGCAATTCAGCTGGACTTAGTCTGTGATTAAATGTTAAATGGAACTTAATCATCAGCATTTCGCCGCCGAATCGAGTCACGTATATTTAGAATATCGTTGAGTATGTTATTTTGTGCATTTTTATTGGCACTTCGCCCCGTGTCTATGCAAGGTGTCGCTCGTTTTTGTCGCTTTTAATAGCCACGATGCCAACGGACTAGCCCGCATAGACACCTTTATAAAGCCAGCTACTTGATTGCCGCCGCAGATACAGATACAACAGGCACACACGTGCATGGCCACATTGTTTGATCTATTAGTCAGTCGGCTCGTCTCCATTTCGTGGTTATGTGGTTATGTGTTTAACCCATGTCTGACACCGTTCGACCCCGAGCACTTCCTGCCAAATAACAAAACTGTGTCAGCTCAGCTCAGGCCAGGTCAAGCGTTTGACCAATCGGCTAGCTGCAGCTACAGCTGCAAACTGTTGCAACGCTCGCACTCTGGAGGCCAACTAAATGCTGGCAACGTGGCGTATACGTGCCACACACGCTTGTTGCGACCTGCCACTAGACACTTGCCTCATCAGTGCCATCTAATGATAGCCTTTTGGGGCGAATGACAAACTAAATGGCTAACATCGCTGAGATCATCAACCCTTGCTGTTAACAGGACAGGCCCCTTGGGTCTCTGCTTTAGCCAAGCAACTTTTCTTATGCCTTTGACACAATTCTTAAGCAAAAATCGCCGTTTCGAGTCAAAAAAAGTCTGCAACTGTCTTCTCAAATGTTATTCGCATATGACACACTCGGGATAAGTTTTGCAAGTTTGATTACATTTTATAGAAAACGTGTTTTACGTATTGTTGTTGGTACCCAATAAATTTTCCATAAATTCAAAAACTATTTTACACATACAAAGAACTGTATACATTTCTATTTGTTGTTCATTTTATTTACTATCGGCCTTATTTCACACAAAAGTGCAAATGAAAAATGCTCAAGATTGAATTTTAGCTGGCCAATAAGTGCGAAAAATCGCCAGGCATGCTGAAAACTATGGGCAAAACAACAGGGAAATACACAAACAATACGAATTGGAAGACTTAAGTATGTGGGAATTACGTTGGCCTAAAAACAAAATATGAATGGGAAATAATGGGTATGTTGAATTCGACGGAGGGGCGAGAGATATGCATACATATCCATATGACCAACAGTACGTATACGTATTCTGCAGCTCACAGCAACAGCACAGTGGGCCAAATTGAAAATTTGTTGTCCAAAAAATAATAGCCTAAACATAAGTAACAGACTTATTGGGCTAACGTCTGGGCTCAAATTTTTTATACAGCACGATCAAAGTAAATACATATTTTTTGTGCCAGCAAGTGTCAGTCTGGCCCATTGTGCAGCGTCTAGGAACAAAAAGAGAAAAGGACAATCCGAATGCAATGACATGCAAGCTTGCAGACAAATTTATTGATTAAACAGCCCGCCAAAAAGACGATAAGTAATGGCAATGGTAATAAATAAACAAAATTAAATAAATAGCATGTAAAATTATTAAAGATCTTGCGACTTGGCGCAGGGATTGTTAATGCGCCGCAGCGTGGACTTCACGTGTTAAGGGATACGCAAACAAGTTGGCAGCTACATTTTTTTTTTGTCGCGTTTACTGAATGACTCAAGCGAAGAGCAAACGGGAAAAACAAAAACAAATGCGGAAAAGTAGAAAATCTGAAAAACTGCTTAATGAAAATTGCGCAAATTAAATGCGCAGTAGTTTTTTATTTGCCATTTAAGGTGTGCGGCACATTTGTTGTGTTGTGGGTTCGAGGTGTGGGACAGCTCATCAAATCGTCTATTTATTGCTATACATGCTGTTGTTTTTTTTTCTCTCTTGCTTATTGCTGTAATTGTTAACAATTTATGCATTAAATGCTCAAGGCTGATAGGGCGCCAAAAATGGGGCGCGCTCAATATGTGGTTTGAAATTGTTTTCAAAATATTGAATGAGCACACGATACTATCGTGAATATAATAGTCGACACTGGCTAGTTAGTTAATGTAAGCGATATTCGATTATATAACACAGACTTGTTTATATAGGAATTTAAACATATATAAACATACATAAACATATTCAATATGCGTTTGAGTACTATGAGTACTATGAATATTTAATATGAGTAGCTTACGGAAATAGAAAGTATACTTATTATATACATATGTAAATGCATATTAATGATAACTTTTGTATGTGTCTTAAGCATTTGAATAGTTAGACTACGAGTACTTGGGATGTAGTGTGAGTAGTATGAGTACTACGGAAATAAAGAGTATATTAATAATAGACACGTATAGTCATATATATACTACCATGAATACTTTTGGTGTTTCATCGTTTGCTAAAAGTACTATGAATACTTTGAATATTGCAACATTTGAGTGTTGAGAATACTACAAGTACTTTTGATATGCAATGTGAGTAGGATATCAGTTCTTGCCAGCATACTTAAAGGACATACACATAAATATAAATATGCCATCATTGCTTATATATGTTCTAAGCATTTGAGTACTTGAAGTACTATGCGTACTTTCAATATAAAAAGCATGTATCATGTCAGTGCTATGGGAAAATACGTGTAGCAACTTGAATGAATACACGTTACCTTTTAAAGCTGGCTCTGTGCACAGTTCATGTCTAACTAACTCATTACATTTTTGGCGATAATTGTTTTTCTCTTTATATTTATTTATTTATTTTTTTGTATTATTACTTCTTAGACAATGGCATGGGCAACAACAATAGCGACAACAATTCGCTTTAAAGTGGCCGCTCGGAATTTTGCCTTTCGCTTTTGCTCAATGAGGCGCAACAGCTGCCAATCGACGACCGCTGGCGATGCTACACGCCCACAATGTGCGCCCACATAATTGTTAAGTGTGCGCCATCTATATATAGGCCATATATAGGCGTATACTCATATATAGAACATACACAGCAAATCTAGCCGCAACGGGGAGATGTACAACGCTCTATCGATCGTTCAATTAGCGCGCTCAGCGCCAACCCAACAACAACAATGGACAACAACAACAACAACAACACTACAACAACATTGACAGCCAACCGAGTGACATTGACATTTCAGCTAAGCGATTGGGCTTTATATTTAATTTTTTCTTTTTTTTTTCCACCTTTTTCCCCCTTTTTTTTTAAATGCACATTACACGGAAGCAGCGAACGGCTGCCCAATTAAATGCACGCCCCTGAGGGGGATAGGGTGAGGGGTAGGGGGCGGGGCTTTATTCGCTTCAATGGCTGCGCCCCACATTAGGCCCAGCAACCAGCCCAAAACGCAAATTCTATGCCAGCGCCCGCAATTTAATTAATTTTGCATTCAGCTGCTTTATTTTTCAAGTTCAATAGATGCGACTCCAAGTCGACGCCAAAATGCCAAACATTTGATTCACGCTGTGTTCGAGTGTGCGTCTATGTGTCTCTCTCTCTCTCTCTGTGTGTGTGTGTGTTTGGCGAGGCAGATTAGCCTTGAAGGCCCGCCACATGGTCAGAGCAACGGGTATTACCGCTTTGGGGCATTTTACTGTAAAATTTTCGTTGATAATTAAGTTAATTGGCCCACGCGACGTATGAGTAATCTGCTTAGGCTTAACCCCAACCCCCTGCTTCACCCATCTACCCTTCAAAAGCCTATTACATATATCCGTTTGCGGGTCAGTCGGCAAATGCAATACTTGTAATGCAGCTGACGCTTATGTAGTCGCCCCGATAAGTGCCAAAACGGCAAGTAATTGCAACGTGCCCCACATTGAGCGCCACAAAAAGCAGAAGAATGAGCCCAGGTCTAAGTAAATGCACACACGAATATAGATCAAAAGCAAAGCTGATAAGTGTTACATTACATTCAATTAGGATAATGTATATTTGGAAAATTAAGTTAAAAATAAATAAATAGAATTGGTGAGTGCGCCCAATTGAATACCTTAAATGAAATTTGAATTCCCATCTTCAGTTTGCTTCATTTGATATTATCAGCTGATTTTTAATAAATGACTCTTCACTTTGAAGAGTCTTAAGAAACTGGAGGGCTCCCAATTTAAACAGCTTATAAACGTTGAGGGTAGGCTAAATTAATTAAATTGGGATACGGTTGTCCGTTGAAGGACGAGTCTCCCAAACTGTCACTTAACGTAGAGCTATGTTTGGTGGGTTATTTATGCGTAAATAAGTCAGTTTAACTAATCGTTAACTACTGCTCTGATTTAAACAGCCAATCGAATTTCTCAGTTCTAACAAGACTCAACTTAATATACACTTTTTAATCTTATTTGCTCAACTAACTGTGCTTAGACAGGGTTAACTTAAAGGTTTTTCACTCACGTATTAAATATATGTATATTAAACTATTAAGCATGATGTTTATACAGTGGAGTACTGTGAATGAAGCACGTTGCAACGGGATGCGCGCGCCCCACGTTGGGCGCCACAACGCAAATGATTGCATTTTTGCAGGAAGAACTTAATAAACAAAATTCCTACATGCTGATAAACCATAAAGTGAAGTTTATAATAAATAGCGAGCTTTTGTGCGTTTTAAATTACGCGCCAATGCAGCGGAAATGTTTGCTAAACTGCTTACGACAGCAAATTATGGTTATTGTTGTGGGAATACATACGAAAGTGTGTGTGGGTGTGTGAGTGGGTGTATAAGTGTGTGTGTGTGTGGGTGTGGGTGTGTACATCAAGCATTATACAAAAGGCACTTGAACTTTGCTTTCGCCATAGAGCATTTGCATTTAGGAGGCCTTGTGTGCATGAATGGGTTAAGGGTTGCGGAGCACGTTGAATTGCTTGTTGTGTGTGTGTTGTGTGTGTGTGTGTGCCAAGGCTCTGTGCTGCAAGGTGGCTGCAGGCAGCTGCAAAATGGCACACACACACCAACACATACACACACAGGTGAAGGTGGCAAAGTGGGCTTGGCCTTTGCCTTTGTAATCTAATGCAGCCACAAATTGGGTCAGCCACACGGAGATGCGCTCAAGGTCAGCAGCGCTATGATGGAAACAGCATCAACAACATAGCCAGCTGCTAACCATCAGCTGCTCCAGCTGACAGTTGCCCAAAAGTGTGACCAGAGCACAGGACAAAACTGGATGGGACCAAACTAAACTTAACTAAAATAAACTAAGCCAGGAGCGAATGCGCTTGGTGCTGTCTTGAAGTTCATTTCGGGCAACTTACCGCATATCTCCATGACATCTTAATCAATTTCTGTGTGTGTGTGTGCGGGGTGGGTGTTGTGTGTAGGTGTTGTATGTGTGTGGGTGTGTGTTGGCTTCCTTATTAACTGCCTCGTCGCGCTGCCTGCTTCTGCTCCTGCTCCTGTTTCTGTTCCTGCTGTTGCTCCTGGTCACGACGATTCGTTCGTTGCTCCCGCTTCGCGTTACTGTGGCTACCTTCCTGTTTGTTTGTGTTCAGGTGTTGAGTAAATGCAAAATAATAGATGATTATTGTTAACTACAGTAAACACAATAATAACGACAACAACAGCAGCAACAGCTAGAATAGACGCTGTGCCAAAACAAAAAAAAAAAAAAAAAAAACAAGTGTCTTGCGCTTGTTTTGAATGGCAACAAATCTCATTCGTAATTTTGGGCACACACTTGAAAAAAATAAATAAAATAGGAATAAGAAGTTTCCCAAATTTAGTTGAACGCACCTTTACAAAAAACACGTCTAGAATTTTATATATATATATATAAATGTATATATATAAAAATATATGTATGCGGCTGCTGTTTGGCTAAAAGATTTAATTTGAGAGATTTCTCAATTAATTTGTTATTGTTTTTATTTCAAATTTTTTTCTTCGATTTATTTGATATATTTTGTTGAATTCTTTTTGGTTTGCAGCGCCCAGTTCTCGCTTATTTTTTGCGTTCTGGCGACGTACTTTTTGCGACTGATTTGCAAAGCGGCTTTCGCTTTGGGGTTGGTTTTTGTAGGCGTCCAAAAGCTTCCGTTCGGGCCACCTCCGGCCCGAGTCGGTGACGTAGAACACGTTGAGCTTTTTCGTCGTCGTGTTGCCGCTCAGATTTGATTTTGTTGGTATGCCGCTGCACGTGGTGACGCTTACGGGGCCCTAGTCATATATCTATGTGGGCAGATATATGTGCACAAATATATATATCTAATATAAAAATATATATAATATATATTTATATATACAATCGCCCACATGCATATGAGAGCCGCCCACTTTCGCATATGCAAATATTTGTTGTGCATGTATTTTTTAGAAATGTATTTATTTTGCTCATGAGAGGGCGCGAGCATCCCATCTGTGAGATAGAGAGAGAGAGAGAGCGAAAGAGAGAGCGAGCGAGAGGGCGAATGAAAAGCTTTTAGCAAGCTGCAGCAACAAACTTGGTCAACTGTGACGCGAACATTCAAGTTCCGCAACACAAATTCAAGATCAACCCATGAAATGATTCACAAATAAATCAACTTTAGAACATACTCACATAGACTCATGAAATATCTAACGAAGCTTCGCAATGAATGAATGTTTTTGATTGAAAACATTTATTGAGCGTATTTGTGAAAAATTATTGAGCGTATATATTCAATATTAAATATATATATATTTGTGTGTATATATCGCTTAATTATTGCTGCTGCGTAAATAGAATCTGCGGAGCGAGAGAATAATTTAAGAAAAATAAAATAAAATGTTAGCTGAATGAGTCATTTCATCTGAACAGCTCATTCGCCGTCATTCATGAGGCTTTTCAGCTTAACAAATATCCTGTTCCGAGCATTTCTGCGTGGCACGCAATACGCTAGCTAGCTTTTCCGAATAATTCCCTTTATATTCTTTAGAATTACCTAGAAATTTAGTATTTGTAAATGTAACAGATTTTTTTTGTTCAGAATAGTCAACATATTCTGGGAAGATGTTCTTAAACTAAAAGTCAATATGTTTTCGTGTTATTGTTCAAAGCATTTCTTAGTATTATTCAAAGGTCTGGAAGTCCTGAGAGCTTGGTTTACGGCTCAAATCAAATTGTGTATTTAAGTTGGGTTCGTGAACACGATGTTCGATGCTTGAATCTAGCTTTTGGTTCATATATAATACAGATCATTTTATTATTCTTCAAGTGTCCTTAATCAGACATTTAGCCAAAAATGCCTTTGTCGAGGCCTCTCTAGAACGATTTTCGGTTAAACCAAGCCAAGCTAAAACCAGTAAGAGGTTGCAGTCGGGAAATCCCGACTCTTGAACCCTCTTGTTTGTAGTAATAAAGATAAATTAAAAAAAAAAAAGTTCCGTTGGCAGGGTTTGAACTCGCAACTAACTGCATTACTTGTCACCGTCTCTACTCAAAGTCCACAGCAATCATTAAGTCATGAGAAATAAACGAATTACAATAGCAGCACAGAAAACAATAAAATCGCAATTGCAATGCTGTTGATAGAATTCAAAGCAGTCGCGCATGAATTTGTGTTTCTGAATGTATACAAAAATGTTTTGAATTTGCGCTAGCTTTTAACCGATCTTAATGCGATCGATTCGGCTGTTGATGCTGTTCAAGAATATATATGCTTAATTTAGCCCGAAAATTCGATTTGAAAATGTTTGAATTGTGCAATATTTTCAGTAGAAAGGGCAATTATAAATTAAATAAAATTTCATTCGAATGCTAAGACTGATAACGTAAGGCTTGAACCAAAGCTAGGGCTTATGAAGGAGGGAGTCATTGTTATTATTATTATTATTATTATTTAGTTTTATCATCATGTACATTATTAAATTAAACTGTACAACTTTTTTGATCACGTTTAGCCAATGAACCCTTGCGATCTGCGAAGAGCTCTAGCTATTTGTCAAATATGTATAGTTATTGTACATTTTGTTGTTATACATGTACATATATGGTGAGGATGATTGTTAATGATTTAAGTATCATTTGTATACAGATCAGTTGGGCGTGTCATATTTTGTAGATTGTATGAATTGTGTTGCATACGATGTGTGTTTAGTCGCCAACAAGTCCCAGAGACGTTATATGTCCAATTAAAGACGCATCCCCAATTGCGTTTGTGCGTGTGCGAAAAGATATTTGAAGAGTGAATGTCAAAATAATAAGAAAGATATCAATATTAAAAATTTTGCAGGCACTACATTTGATTCTGGAACAATTGATCGGTCTGGAGCTTTGGTTTTGGTTTGTTCTTCATACCAGCGAGCAATTGTTTCAACTCCATAATGGCCATGGCCGGATTCAAGTTCTTGGGGCATGTATTGGTGCAGTTGAGTATGGTGTGGCAGCGATAGAGCTTCCACGGATCCATCAGCTGGCACAGACGATGCTCGGTGGCCTCGTCGCGAGAATCGATAACCCAGCGATATGCTTGCATCAGCACAGCCGGACCCAAGTACTTTTCGCTATTCCACCAGTACGATGGGCACGCGGTTTGGCAGCAGGCGCACAATATGCATTCATACAGCCCGTCCAGACGATTGCGATCTTCCAATGATTGCAGATACTGAGCCTTGCCCATTTCCCTGTTCAAGTCCTTGCGCTGCAGCCAGGGCTCGATGGAACGATACTGATCATAGAACTGCGACATATCCGGCACCAGATCGCGCTTCACATACAGATGCGGCAGCGGATAGATCTTGCACGGCCTGCCCACATTCGTGTCAATGGCCTGGATGCAGGCAAGCGTATTGATGCCATCGATGTTCATGGCACAGGAGCCGCAGATGCCCTCACGGCAGGAACGGCGAAACGTGAGCGTTGCGTCCATTTCGCTTTTGATCTTGATCAGGGCATCCAGTACCATGGCGCCGCACTTGTTCAAGTCCAGCTTGTATTTCTGCATTTTGGGCTCATCGCCGGGCTTCCAGCGATATATTTCAAAGGTTTTCATGCGTTCCTCCTTCGGCTTGGGCTTCGTCGTTTCCTTTGGCGCTGCGCCCTTTTTGTCAACATCTTTGGCGCTTACCTCCTTGCCATTCGGTTTGTTGGGCTGCTTGGCAGGTGGCTTACCGCCCTGTTTGTCGCCATTCTTCTTCATCTGCACGGGCTGGCTGGCTTTATTGGGCTTGTCAAGATTCTCGGATGACGCAGCCTTCGCAACCTTCGCGGGCATCTCAGACTTGTTCTTGGATGCATCCTCGTCATTTTTCTTGCAGTAAACCACATCCACATCATCATTTACCGCCTCAACGATGGGCATCGCCGATGCAAGCCCATATGTCCTGGTCATATGATTGCGCACCGATGCCTCCAGCACGCGCAATCCCGATCTAAGCCGAAGCATTATTTGCTACGGCTCAGATCGTCCAAACAAATAGTCAAAGAATATATATATTTAATATTTAAAGTAATTTTGAATAAACTTTTCGCTTTTTTTTTTGTTTCCCGGGGCTGTTTCACTTACGAGCTGACAAAAACTACTGAATTCCAAAGGCAGACTCACAGAAAGCCCTAAAGAAATCTTGGCCACAAATCCAATGGTAACTAGATGAGGAGAATTTCGATTTATGTAAGGATTTTTTCGAAAGACTTGAGAATATTCTGAGTAAGATTTAGATATGACATGATGATATGATATTTCCAACAATTAATAATAGTTAAATGCAAAGGCAAAGAAGACCAAGACCTCCATGCATAATGAAACACTCAAGTATTGGAAGCTTGAGAACTGGAATTAACATTCATAATGTTAATATTTAGTAAATCTCTTCGCACAGCATAATAGTTGTACTATGCTCTGAAGAAGTGTAAATGCCGCCAGCGAAGCTTGAGGGACAAGCAAAACATTGTGAAATGTTTTTTCTAGAACTGTTGAACTTTACAAATCAGCAAAACATCAATGCCCAGACAATGGCTATATGCATGCAGGGCGAAGTGTCTGTTAGTTTCAAATTAAACGCAATTAAATAAAAATATGTTGTACAAGTGGATGGCAAGTATGCTGCAGACATCTATTCCAACTAAGAGCTGGCACATTAAATGGAAACAAACGAAGGGGCGTCAGCACATGCAAAAGATCAGGGACGTGAGGCGCGGGCGCACTGAATGAAGCCAACTGTGAAAACGGCCTCAGGGCCAGGTCTATAAATACGAGAGAACAACAACAACAACAAGAACAACAGCAAATGCGTCGCATTTGTTGTGGAATGGTGGGCCCGTCCCTTAAAAATAAAACTTAACAACATGTCAGCGGCAGCCGTTGCCATTGGGATCGGGATCTACGCGAAAAACAAAATGTTTTCACTTGCCACGGCAACAGCAACAGCAACAACCCCACCCCGATCCCAGTGCGTACCCACTCCACTTAGAGCACGCATACATGGCTTGCACTTCTCCACTCTCAATTTTTTTTTTTTTTTTGGAAACACTTTTGTGAGTGTCGTGTGCCGTGCGTGCCTGCATCGAGATCCAATCGATGACAGTCGGCTGAAAAGCGCCCGCTAAGCCTGGCCAGATTAACCGCATCAACTTTTTTATGCCACGGGCTCAGCAAACATCAAAGCAACCAGAGACAATTAAAAGGCAATTCCAGCAATGCGCCTGTTTGCACCTGCCGTCCGCACATCAGCAACAACATTGTCAACGCTGATGATAACACTGTGCTCAAGCGACAAAACAAAACACCAAAAAGCCAAAGATAAGAGTTTAAGTGGTAGATGAAACACTTGGTTAATAGAACACTTCAACTACAATTGAAAGCAGCAAATAAATTCGTGAGAATCGCATAGAAAGGCGTTCTGTATTGAAGTGACAGGAGAAAAGATATTCAAAATTGAAATTGAAAATAGACAATTAAAATAATACAAAAAAAAAATAAAAATTGGCTGAAAAATATCTCTATAAAATTCGTTACCCATGAAAATCGCATAGAAGGCTGCTCTTTTCGTATTGCAATCTTTTTTTAAGAAACATGCTCGTACGACACTTTGTAGTAGAGTGTTATTAAAAATAAATACTGCATCACATACAAATACTTGAGGCAAATTATGTTGAGTTGAGTTGTTGTCGCTGCCAAGGTGTTGACGCGGCTGACAATCTGGAGCAGCAGCCGATACCCGCCCCTCCCCACCTCCCCACCACCACTCCTCGTCATTCACAACTGCACAGCTCGGCATCGGCATCGGCATCGTTGGTTGAGTCATTTAAGCTGTTAAGCCGCCGCTGACGTCTGACAGGTGCCATGATAGAGGCATTTGGCGTGTACATTTCGTCATACAACATGCGAGTAGTTTGAGACGCGTGCTGGAATTAGTTAGCCATGTTGCAGGCAGACGAGATGCCATCCAATTCCGATTTTTACACACACACACACACAGGCACACATGCAGACATCCATTCATCCATTCCGATCCCAGATGTGCCCAACGATCAACGAACCGGACCGTCTCTTCCTGTTTCTCAGTTCTGTTCTGTTCTGTTCAGTTAATTTGATTGCCACGCTGCGTAGTGTGATATAAAAGTGCAAGATTTATGGCTTTTAAATTTTCATTCATGTATTCATGCTGATTGTTTGTATGTGCACACACACACACACACACACACACACACACACATGTAAATATTTTCAGATTTGCAGTGCTGCAAAGCGGATGCACAAATCAATTACAATAGTTGTATGGGAATCAACAGTGTTGGTGACCAAAGAAAATCCAATTACAAAGGTGCCATAACTTTTATTTGTTAAATTTGCCACAGACAGCATTTAACATCGTTACGACTTCAATTACATATTACATATATGTAGATGCTCTGTCCGAACAGGTCACGGGGTCAGCAAGCAGGATTTTGCTGTTATTTTTAGGGTTGCAACCCGAGCGAAAAAGCATGTCAAAGTTCAAAATACTATAAAGAAAAATAAGCATACCTACTTAGAACATATATGTATCCCTCTTAAGGTATTGCTGACAAGCTAAATATGTTATCTGCTTTCCGTCTTATATATAAGTCTTTAAGATTTAATATAATTTGCTAGCATTTGTAAGTCAAAACAAATAATTAACAAATACCGTATAGGAATAGTTTAGTTCAGTGGCTGAAGGACATTTTCTATATTTTTTGGTACAAGCCAAAAATATTTAAGAAAAATGAATACATTAACATTTACATAATTGTAAATATTGGCTAAAAATCTTTTGATTTTTTAATTTTAAAAAATATCGTTAAAAGCATCGATAGTATCCTTCGCAGTATCGCACATGCTTGTGGCATATATCGATTTGCCAGCCTATCGATTGCTGCAAAAGTTTGTTTACATTTAGCGAGAGGCATGCAAAATAAGGCGAATTAAAAAAAATATGAATATTAGATTGAACAGTTATGCACTTGCAATGGATTTGTAGTTGGTACTCTTCTATTATTTTTGCACTAATTTGTGTGCTAATTGCCATATACTGGCATAGTCCTACGGCAAAGCGTGGTAGGTGTAAGCCATATAAAGTGTATTTTGTAATACGAAACAATGGATTTTCTAGGCAAACAGAATGCACCGAGGACTCCGCCAAATCCCGAGGAGCCACTGCCGCCCTCCAGTTCGCCGCTGCACCAATTCAAGCAGACGGGCATATGCACGGACAACACGCCCTGCAGTCTCATAGCCAGGTATGCGTCAATGAATTCCATTAATAAGCAACTAATTCTGTACTCTTCTCATAGGGAAACACTGGCTCGCGGTGGCAGTGCGGTAGATGCTGCGCTGACCGCACTGATCTGCAATGGCTTCACTGGGATGCAGAGCATGGGACTGGGTGGCGGCATGATCATGAACATTTATATGCACAACGAGCGCCGAGCATACACTATACTCAGCCGGGAGATTGCACCACGCTCTCTTGCGCCCGAGAATTTTACAGTCTTTGAGAGCGAACAGCAAATGCAGCAGTCCGCCTGGTCAATCGCTGTGCCCACCGAGCTGCTGGGCTATGCGTTGGCCCATGAGCGTTACGGCAAGCTGCCCTGGAAGGATTTGGTCATACCAACGATCTCGCTGTGCCTCGCCGGATATCAGCTTTACAAACATCAATACGATGCGCTCATACTGAATGGGTACATGATCAAAAATGATGCACTATTGCGTCAAATGTTTGTCGATCCCATGACGGGTGACTTCTGGCCAATTGGCACTTATATACAGCCACCCAAGCAGCTGTGCGACACTTATGAACATATTGCCTTAAAAGGGCCGCGCAGCTTCTACAAAGGATCGTTGCTGAAAAAGCTTCATTGTGATTTGCGCGATATTGGCAGCGGCATAACCCTAGCCGATTTAACGAACGCACAGGCTGAACTTAAGGATTCTATAATAGTACCGTTAGATGAGTATGATATGCATTTGACGCCACCGCCAGGCAGTGGGCACATCGTTGGTCTTATAATGAACATACTGCATACATATCGAGCGGATTTCGCAGCAGCACGAGATTTGGGTCCCTTGGAAACCCATCGCATAGTTGAAGCTTTGAAATTTGGTTTTGTTCAGCGTTGGCAATTGGAAGATGGAGCTAATGAAGAGGTTAACCATATTTTTCTATCGCACACATATGCGTACACCCATCTCTCTTTCTCTTACACAGAATATTATCTATCTGTCTCAGTCGTTTTCATGACCTTTTACAATTCGTATGCATAATATTTGTGGCATCAAATTGATGGCATATATAAAATATATAATAACGCAAGAAACGTGCCTATTTCAGAGTCAGATGCAAAGCTTCTCGTATTCCCAGCAAGCATCTATGCATTCCAGTCTTAGGCCAATTTGAAGGGCAAAACGGATTCTGCTTTTGTTTCAAATTGCATTGTGTTGATATCCATATATATATTTTTGTCATATTATTAACTCTTTGCTATTGTCAAATTCCTTTTGCACGCAGCTACTGGCCAAGCTGACAAGTCCAACGTTTGCCGCCAGCATCGCCAAGCTGATTGATGATACTAAAACGTACAATAGCTCGGAGCACTATGGGGCATTATTGGATATACAATCGCGTAATGAGCATGGCACATCGCATATTTCGGTGCTGCACAATAATGATGCGGTTTCAGTGACCAGTTCCTTAAACTTTTAGTAAGTGCGAATCTCTTGAATTTCTGGCCGATATCATGCTCATCGATTGCTTGCAGTTTTGGTAGTGGACGCATGGGCAAACGCACTGGCGTGCTGTTCAATAATGCCATGTCTGACTTCTCCGTGAAACATCTGAAGAACTATTTCGATCTGCCCTATGTTGATGGCAGAAATGTGGTAGCTGGCGGTGCCAGGCCCATGTCCTCAATGTGTCCAGTCATTGTTACGGAACGCTCCACCGGTCAAGTACGGCTGGTGGTGGGCGCGGCTGGCGGCACTAAAATCATATCGGCTCTTGTCCCGCTGCTGGTTCGCATGCTTTGGCAGCAGGCGAACATCAAAAAGGCCATCGATGCCAACAGATTCCATCATCAGATGCAGCCCAATGTGATACAGTACGAATACGGCATGATCCAAGCACATGTCGACAGCCTCCAGGCCAAAGGACATCAGTGCGAACGCTATCGAAATCGTGGCTCAGTTATTTGTGGCATTGCCCAAAATAACGACAGCATTTCCATCAATTCGGACTATCGTAAAATAGGCTGTGTGGCTGGTTTTTAGCCAAGCGACGGCGCAATTAGTTGTAGATTTCAGTTCGAACACAATACGATGTAACATATCTTCCCAAAGATCACGGAAATTAAAGCAGAGTAGCTGTACAAACTAGTCTCTCGTCAGGCGACACATGTATCTTCAACAATATCTTATATCTATTATATGTTCTGTATGCTAAGCTCTTTTGTTTTTCAATACATGTTCTAAAAACTTGATGCATTTAGAAGCTTATCAAAATCGGACCACTTGATCAAATAGCTCTATAAGAGAGTCTGTCGGAAAATATGTATATGGTATTCCAAACTTGTCTGTTCTTTAATATATCGTAACCAAACTCAGACAAACTCAATATCAAACTGTTATATTCGGTTATCAAACTTTGAATATAAAAGCACTTGTAAGCCATATTTATGAAATTATTTTATTAAATTGTAATAATTGAAGTTTTTAGCTAGGCCATTTTGTAACATGCAATTTAGATGTTGAGCTATGTATATATATATATGTATGTATATGTATATATGTAGGTATCCATAAATTGCATATGAATTTTATATAGAGAGTGTGCGTGTGTGCGCGTGTGCCTAATCGCATGCTATCAGTACGTTTTTATATAGTGTCTTTTAAGTAATTGATTTAGGATCTGGATGCGTAGCTCTCTGTTTGTCTTCATGCTCATACTCTGTAGGAATACGTCGTAAGCTCTACTTGTTCTATGCGTTTATATATATATATAGATATATATTTTTTAGGCATTATATATAGTAGTTTTCGTGTGTCTGTGCGTTGTGTATTGAGAGAAGGAACCGTTTATTATTTTGTTGTTATCATATTGTTTTCAATAATTGAGCAATATTACGTAGCGTATCTTTCAAACATACAGCAATTGCATCACATCGATAGCAAATACCATATTTGTTTGTATATATATCTTCTATGTATAAGTACAATGGTATGTATAAAAAATGCAATCAACAATATCAGTCTGTTGCTAAATTCCGCTGCAACAACATCTCTATCTCTCTCCCTCTCTCTCCCCCTCTGCCACTATCTCTCACTCATTCTAGGGCCAGGCAAAATTAATGCCAGTCAGTTGATAAAACTTATTATTGAACGGCCTGTAGAATTCTCTGAGTCGCTCAATCGCATTGGCATCGATATGCGGATGATTGCGTCCCTTTGTCTTGCCCAAACAGTGGGGCGTGGAGCGTGCCTCCGATTTGAATAAACAGGGGAATCCCTTGGTGGCATTAAAATAGAAATGCTTTTCGGTGACCACACGCTTCAGACCCAAAAAGTCCTGTACACGTCCAATCTCGTAGGCCGGATCCATAATCAAGCGCTCGCCGCTTATGAAGAGCAGCTGCGAAAGCGGAAAGTACAATATCCAGTGCTCCAGATAACGCGCATAGACACCAATCTTGACTGGGCCCCAGTTGGTGTCCACCACAGAATAGCTGCCATTAACAAAGGCCAGCTGCTCGAATCGTTTCATGTCCGCCTTTTTGCTAGCCGCCTGCGTATAGTCCGAGATGGCGCGAGTCACCGGATCTCGCACCACAATCAGTAGTCTAAGAGTTGGAGTCCAGAGAAGAAAATACACATAAAATGAATCTGAAGATCGCTTTCAGCTTGATGATAATAGTACCAATCCTCATGTGAACAGTTATGAAAATTCAAGGATCAGTAGATGAAGCGAAACAAAGAAAAACAAGAGCGCAAACAGAGGAAACATAAATGAAAATTCCTATTCAGAAATCTCTATTAACTGGAACTGTACGAAGTATATATATATAATTGGATTCTGATTCTAGAATGATATATTCCAACAAGTAAGAGTCCTCCAGTGGGGAGTGTCCGAAATAGAAAATTCCGTGACGAGCATTCTAGCTCCATCCACGCACACACACACACACACACGTCTTCCCTTTACCCTTGATAGACTTCGCTTCGTCCAATCTTTATGCAATTTGTAGGGCATAAATATGGCATCCAAATGGGTGTAAATACCAATCTTAAATGCTACACCTTAGAAAAAACATGTTTTTTTTTCAATTCATTTTTTGGGCAACAGGGTAAGGTATACAAAAAGATATATATTTTGGATTTGGGTAAAGCATCAGCTATCCACCTTTCAAATTTAGCTCTAAAAAGCCGCAATATATGCTCAAAAGACAAGATTTCGATATTGGTATTATCGATATCAGGAAAACGGAGCAAGTTATTGATACTACGCGGGAACGTTCAAAGCTTCAAATCTTTCACGTCCTGAGATCGACGCGTTTATACAAACGGACGGACAGACATGGCTAGATACTTTACTTTATGGGAATCTTGCAGTAAGTCAATTTATTATTTTCTATATTTTGACCCATTTTCAATGGCTTCTGCTTATGAAAATCGTATAGGGCTAGAAGAGAAAACTGTTCTCATCTATAGTAAAGTTGAAGTTCTATGATGTCAAGCCCTTTAATATCCATTAAATACAAATAAATAATATGGCTGGGAGTGCAGCAAAATAATGTGCCCTAATTTTATATATACTTCAATATATATATTTAAAGTTTAAAGAATCAAATTGGAATTATTAAGAATGCGGTTTCTACTCACTTTGTGGCCGGGTTCATGTGATATACGCGCTGCGGCACCTCCTTTGTGACAAAATAGCTGGGCGTCTTCTCCATGGTTATCTGGCCCTCGATGGTGTAGGGCATATGATGGCGATACCAGCGCAGGCCGCGCTGATAGTGCCTATCGAAGAAGTGCACCTCAGAGCCGGCGGCACGCACATCCGGATGCAGGCGTATAAACTCGAGCAGTGCCCGGGTGCCGCTCTTCTTAACGCCAATGATGAGCGTATCGGGCAAATGGCGTGAGGGGCGCAATCCCTGCTGGCGCAGCATTTGATACTTGGGCGCGCCATCGACGCTGGCAATGCCACTGCCAATGCTGGCCGCACTGCCGGTGCTATTGGGCATTATAGCCGTGCTGGAGGTGGCCTCCGGAGCAGTGCCGGCATCCTTGACGGGCTCGCTGCTAACGTTGCGCCGCTGCAGCGTCAGCAAATTTCGTAGATTGCTCTGTGTGCGATTGGATAGTGAGAATCGAAGCGAATGGGATAGCATTCACGGGGTGCTCACCTGCTGCAAGGAGCGACTGATGCTCTCAAAGAGGCAGGCATTGAAGCTGTAGGAGAAGTAGACGAGCGTCACGCAGACCACCAGGGCAATGGCCAGGCTGCGGCTGCTCAAATTCAGATTGTGGCACCAGATGCTCACATACATTGCGCTTAACACTAGCACACCAATTCACACACACACGCACGTGCACGCGCACACACACATACACACGAGCACGCAGTTAGCCACGTTGTGCCGCTGTCCTTTCCATGATTTGGGCCGCCAGTTAAGATTAAAAATAGCTCCAGCCGGCCGGCTGTTGGGGCTAGTTTACAACAGCGCGTTGACCATGCTTGACAAAAGCGAAGCTTTAGATTTTCTGGCAACTTCAGCGCCAGCTGCGACTACGAATGCAGAATTGCTGCGCTGTATGTGGCGCCTGTTGTTGTCGTTGCAGCAAAATTCCGGAAGTGATAGCAGGCGGGCAAAGGAAACGCAAGTCCCTGTTACTGGGTCGTCCTCTGGGGTCAGCAGCGCAAACGCGAGCGCTTTTTTTTTCTCTCTCTCTCACTCTCTGTCGCTCTCTCTAACCCCATCTCTGTCTATATGTGTGGCTTGTGCATGTTTTCACTCTTACGCAACAGCGAATATGCGAGTGGCTCCACACAAAAGGTGGCAACTCTTTCTGCACGCTCTCGCTGCGCATGACGTCACAAATGCTTGTAGCTAATGCATCGCCATTTATTTTGCATAGTTTTGCGATAGCTGCAAGCATTTTCATAATGCTCAATTGTGTCGTACCGATAATCGCTTGGCAAGTTAAAAGAACAGCCAAGCTTGCGCCAAGTTTTCTGCATAACTGTCAATAAAATCTGAGAGTCGCTTGAAGTCGAGGCAATCTTGTGACAATGTGCCGCTGCTCTCACAAACTCTCAACCCTTGGCCAAACTGTGCTCAAAAGTAAACAAACTGATAAACCAGCCGCCCGCCTGTTCACCTGGGCAGAGCGACAGATGGAATGTGACGAGCAAACGTTTGTTCCACTCAAGTAGCGCACACTTTGCACGCTCCCGGGGGAGCTTTTATTGTGCCGGGGCTAACGGTGAGGCATTATCAGAGCCGGAGCGCAAAGATTAGGTTTATTATCAGCAGCAAAGCTTCACGTATATACATATAAGTATATCTCTTAAGGGGCGCTACAGGCAGAACGGTAAATCGATGGTCATGAATTTGAATGTGCCAACACGCCAACTGCCGCCATCTTATCAGCTGCTGTGGGCATCCGTTTATCCACACACATGGCCGGGGCCCTGTTTCACTTGGCCGGGATTAGTCATCATGCAGGTGCCGCCTTGTTGTGGCCTTTATCTAATCAACTCTGCGCATGATTTGTTGACAAGAACAATTCTCAGTCGCATTTCGAAACTCTCCGCTGGCATTTGCTGGTCAAGATCCTCTCGCGGAATATTCAATTCAATTTAAATTTGAATACAACCAATAATAATGCATTAGTCACGACTCGAATTTCAAACAGTTTAACGAAAATGTCGAATTTATGGAGCACATGTGTGCACAAGTTTTTCAAATACGCGCCCAGCTATGTGGGTAAGTGGCCTCCGCCAAATGGAGCCCATGTCTCATTATATAAACAATAATATTGAAATCTCCCAATGTGTTTTATATATGCAGTGTGCTTATGCTTTCTGCCCTGTGGCCTCATCTTTGGCTACACGATTTGCTCCTTTGTGGCCGAGCGCAATCTGGAGGCCAACCTCAATGACTATGGACCACTCATATTGGGCGCCTGCCTTTCGCTCCTCACCGCCCTCGGCCTGCTGGCGATGAAGTATATCAAGCACTGTATTCTCTACTGGCAGCCATTCATACTGCTGGCGGCGGGCGTATTCAATGTAATCTCCAGCTGTTTCTATTTTGCCGATGGCTTTGGTGAGTCCACATGCCACAAAGAGGCATTCCCTTTGCTTAGCCTTAGTCAAAGTTTATCATCCACAAACCAGCGCCTTTTGTACAGACTATCAGCTAGTTGTGCCTATATTGTATAGAATAGTATAGAAGGATACATCCAAAGGTAACAATATAGCCATGTCCGTCTGTCCATCTGGCTGTCTGTATGTCGAAATCGACCGCATCGAACAATTAGCATATCATATTGTTAAGGGCTGCATCATAATTATGAGCCAATACTTTGGACTATATATATAGAAAATATCTGGCGAGTATTACAATTTTTGTATGAAGAATGCCCGAGTACAGCTCGGCAAAAATGCGAAGAACCATATCAAAGTGAACCATTAGATCAGAGAGAATATATGCAACTATTCTGTAAATACCAGCTGGTACCTAGTGCAAGGGGAATATATCGAGAGCATAGGCATACAGGGTCTAGATATTATATGGGCTTTACCTGAGTTCCGATTGGAGGTAACAAGTAAGGTACTTTAAAAATTGGATCCCTCCTCATGCAACTGAACTGTCTGACAATCTCTGATATAAATTTTGATTTAATCGTAGATCACGTGGGCGCCTATATGTCATATGTGGCGCACAGCTTGACCTTTGTGGCTGGTTACGGATTCCTGCACACCATCAGCTCGAAGGGCAGTCGATCCTTAATGATATCCGGCTGCTGTAGCTGCTATCTGCTGGGCATTGCGTCTGCGGTGAGCCTGATTGGCGGCACATATGTAAAGAATCTGGAGCAGTATGCCGGCCAGCAGGCAACCACGGAGCAACTGATCGATGGCATCTATGTGAACTTTGCTGCCACCTATCTATCCATAGCGATTGTCATGATGGCCGTACTAATTGGTCTGAAGGTGCTGCATGTGCTGGGCACGGTGGACATGACCAACAGCTTGGACAACGAGCTGAGGATTGCAAATGCGAACGGCAGCATCTTTGAGTCACGCGCGGATGTTATCAAGCGGCTGCAGTTCTTCTATGTCATCAAGAATCAACAGTGGCATGTGACGCTGCTGTTGCTCTTCGTGGAGGCCATCCAATATGCGCTGTTCATCTATCTGGTCTTTTGGTTTGCCCTCAACGATGCGATGCGTCTGGATGAATTGGCCCACATCGACTCTATGTTCTGGGTCATATTCGCTGGCAGCGTTCTGGCCATCGTTTGCCTGTGCTTCTACTCAGCCAAGGTGCACTTTGTGACCACGCAACTGCTGCTGCTGCTGCTCACGGTGCTGGCCATGATTATATACGGTGCGACCAGCTCGAAGGTGACTTTCTGGCTGCTACTGGTGCTCTTCGGTATGGGTTATTCCAGTCTGCAGATTGTGCTGCTGGAGGTAACGCATCTGCGTTTCACCGAATGCATCATATTTGTCTCCTACACACTCAAATTGGTCAGCACCAGCATTGTGTACTATTATTTTGTGGCCAATGTGAATAATTCGTATTTCTATGCCAAGGATGAGAGCACTCTGATCGCCCAGGGATTTGTATACATGATTATAACGTCTCTGCTGGCGCTGGTCGTTGGCATGAAGGTGCCGCGCACGCATCGCAGCAAATTGTTGGATATACAGCACGAGGTTTATGGTATTATCTTCATGAAGCATCAGATCGAACAGCTGAATGTGCGCTGGCTAAACGATGGCACCATACCGACCATCAATCAATGATGCAGTTGCTCACACATGTTCACATTGTTCTTGTTCTTGTTCTTAATGTCGTTGTTGTTGTTGTTTTTGTTGTTGTTTTCTGGTATTTCATTTTCGTTGTTGTTTTCGTTTAGTTTAATTAAAGCTAGTTCTAACGTTTAATGCACACAATCTGCACGGCGGCCGTGTGATCCCGACAGAAATGGCTGGCACAGGCCGAGACATTCGCACAGGGCGTTACCTGGTATCGATGTTGCTCTGCAAATAAAAAATACAAACACACTCATAAGTTTGTCAGCAGCTAAACTGTTTCCAAATATGGGCAAAAATGTCCTGACATGGGACCAATAACTCAATAAACTTGCCTGTGCTCATACAATCACAGCCCCTAAAGATCATATATATATATAGAGCTTATATGTTAAGATTGATAAAGTATACTATATATATATATAGAGAGAGAGAGAGAGAGAGAGAGAGAAATTTCTATACTATATAATATAGTTGCCCTATATGTTAGAAGCACCATAAACATTCTAATTGTTAGGTTTTCTCAGAATATCAGAGTACAAGAACTATATATAACACATTATTGTCCAATATTAATCCGCTCTAATCAAAATATAAATATCTTTGAAGGCAAAAAAAGAGTTGTGTACCAATTAATCCCCGAAATAGTTCGTCATCGGAACGCCTATGAAGCGAGCCTTAAACCAAACCAAGCCGTACAAATTGGCTCGAGCTGGAAGCCAAACAAAACAATCTTAATCAAAGATGATTTGTTTTAAGCTGGAAACCCCCCTTAGGGAGAGTCAGCCTCAAGGCATAAAGAATTCGGATTTTGTAACCAATTTTGGATAGAATTCATGTCCGTTGAACTCACCCAGTTGCTGCATGAACTCGTGCACGGTATCCACATTGCGCACTGTGCTGGCCAGGAGCATTTCGCAGCGATTGCCGCGCAGCTCGTAGATGGCGTCGAGTGCCTCGAGCAGCGCCGAGAATTGGGTATCATCGTAAATGACATCGGCGGCCAGCAACAGATCGGGTGCAGCATATTGCGACCAGGGAAATTGGCTGATCTCATGCCAGCGCAACTGTGCGCATTGCGGTGTCGCCGCATCGCTTGGATCAGAATCAAAATTTAAAGCTATGTTTTCGCGCATCAGCTGTACGCAGGCGGCGCTGCCATCGGTGATAAGCACCTGGCCGACGGGCAGCTGCAGGGCCGGCTGCTTGAGCAGTATACCAAGCAGGCCAGCACCGGCGCCAAGTTCCAAAACATTTTTGCCCTGCAGCAGGCTGGGATGCGCCAGGAGATAGTCGGCCAGAACCAAAGCCGCCTCCCAGGTGCACAGGCCGGTGGTGCCCTCGCTGACAAAGCTTGTGGATTCACGCAGCGTGATATACTTGTCTGGCAGCAGCATGTAGTGCTTGTAGGCATATTGGGATGCAGCCGTAGTTGTGGACGCGTCTATGGTTGCCTTGGCCAGCTGACCGCACAGGCTGTCGTAGATGTCGTCGTGCAGCTCCTCGTGATCCTTGAGCAGGTGCATCAGGCGCTTCACAAACGCCTCCTGATAGCTACGGCGCACCGGGTATCGCTGATTCAACGGATGCCCACAGGTGGCAGCGATCAGAGCACGCTGCGCCTCCAGTTCCAGCGGCAGCTCCAGCGTCTGTACGGCAAGCAAGTGGCAACAATTTGATATTACAAATAACCCACGACTACTTACCGACCAGGCCATCTTATTGACGGGATAACAGCAAAGAAATTGCTGCTGCAGCTTGCCAAACTTGTTGCTGTCCATTGTGTGAGTGTGAATGGAAAATTAAATACGCGCAAGCCAACGCGGCCGATCGATCTGGCAGCCCTGCCGCTGCCAATCAACGCAGCCAGCTGGCAACACAGCTGTCATTTCGATACACACTCCACGGCAGGTCACGCTGCGTACACATGCAATTTGTAACATTATATAAAACAAATAATTGTAATACATATAGTATCTCATTAGGGAATCCAAATAAACAATAAATAAATAAATGGTAATTAAAAAAAAAGAATTGGAGTCAACACTTTCATATTCGAGCAGCTCAATATTTACATAAATATATGAATAGCAACAAATGGGAAGCTTAACTTAGCTAGAGCATTTGCAAGTCGATGTGCCTTTTCGAGATGCTAATAGTCGCTACATGAGTGATTATTACAATTATAAGAACAATCTTATCTACATTAATTAAGCCCAGATCTAATTTGCATAAGATTGTTGAATTTAATCTCTTACAAATTATAAAATCGCATGTTTATCTATCTCGAGGTCAGATACATGCTTAGACAGGCAAATTTAAGCATAAGCTCAGCTTACTTACATATGTATGCAGATACAGTTTCGTATACTTTCGTGAGATTCGTTTCCAAGGGCATCAAGATATATATATTTATATATGTATGTTAGTTTGTAAGTATATGGTAAAGATAAATATTCTTGAAAACTAATTCGACCATACAAAAAGTAAACACTTAACAAGCGGAATGCGTTTAATTGACCTAAAGATGGCGCCACCAGTCCTTTGACTGCCGCACCTGCGACCACACAAAAGCTCCACACACACACACACAAACACATCACGCACATAGCTGTCACGATGGCAACAATTGACGTTTTGTCGCAACTGTACCGTAGATAAGAAAATCTTGTCATTTTTTTTTGGTTTCTTCTCTAGAAAAAACCGTTTATTTAAGTTGGTGTTTGGGAATTTCTGTTTTGACGTGTTCTATTGAATTGTCTCTTGTGTTCTAACATTTATAAGATTTTTGTAAGTTATTTGTTATTGTTTTTGAATGCAACAAACTATGCAACTTCTTGTATTTGCAAATCTCTTTTCGTTTTAGTGCATTGTTGGAGGGGTTACTTGTGTTTCTATATCGTATGAATATCTTGTAAGTTCCGTAAACATTTATGTAAAGTTATTTAAGTGTATATATATATAGAATAGATCATATACGTAATACATTTCATTTATCATATGTATATATATATATATGTATATATATATGTGTGCGACATACATTTTAAGAATGTATGTTTGTTTATACTATTTTTAAAGAAGTTGCTGTTGGTTTTGCATTTTGCATTTTGCATGGTTTGTTTATCAAATTTGTTGTTTGCTTTTCGCTGGTTACTTATTTTCTGTTTGTTTTGTTGTCTGTTTGTTTTTATTTCCTTGTCTAAACGTATAAAATGCATGTAAATCTAAAACTTATTTAATCAACTACCACGCCCACCGCACCGCACCGCACCGCCTGTCGGCAGAGTGGGGAGGTTGGGCCCCCTTCAACGTTTCCATACTTCTTTTCATTAAGTTCTGTTTTCTCCAAAAAAAAAACTATATATGTAATATTAAGTGAATAGAAAAAAAAATGATGTAAAAGTATTATTATATAAAGTAGTTGCAATATTATGTGTACTCATTTCTGATATATGTATGTTTGCTGACCAAATTGGATTGTTGTTCATTCAGCCCCGCCGCCCGCTGGCCGCATTGCGCCTGAACGGCAACGCGATGCTGTTGCAACAACCGTTGGCATCATGCCGCCGACTTGCCGCACATGCAACGCATCAGGCTGCCAAAGGAAGCGTTGCACCCACTCGCCCAATGATCTTGTCCGGCGGCTGGCGACGCACAGCGGCTTCTTTCGGTTCTGTATCTTGGATGGTGTTGTTGTTGTTGTTGTTTTTTTTTTTTTTAAAGGGACCGCTGTGCGCGATGCCATTCAGAGTGCAGCGCTTCCTGTGGCAACACGCTGCATGCGCTGTTGGAGTTCATGGGGCGATGTTGGAGACGGCAACACGATGCCAACGGCTGGCACTGCAACGGCATCTATCTTGGGATCTTGGGATTCGATGGCGTCGACCAACGCAATGCGTGCAGCGGGCGAGCCACAAACTTAAAACTAATATACAAATTTATAATAATAGCAATAATAATAATAATAATAAGAGTTACAGTTATTAATTAAAATATTCATAGATTATGTTTATATATGTATGTATAATAGAAACGAAGCATAAGTATGCACGTTATTCTGAATTCTTTTTTTTTTTTTCATATTTGTTTTGCTTTGCTTTGTTTTGTGTGGTTATACAATTATAATGCTACATATATATATATATATGGTATTTATATTTATGTATATGTTTGCGTAAGATATAAATGAAATCAAGCTCCAATTGACGAATATTTGTGAACTGATTTTGTTTCGGTTCGTTTAACAAATTACTATGCTGCTGTTTGTGTATATAATAATATGAATGTGAATTTTGTGTATTTTGTTTGTTTGTTGTTTTTGTTGTTGTTGATGTTTTCTGTGTGTTTGCTGCGCTTAAGCACGCTCGCCACGAATGCGACGCGCCAACTGAATGTCCTTGGGCATAATGGTGACACGCTTGGCATGAATGGCGCACAAGTTGGTGTCCTCAAACAAACCGACCAAGTAGGCCTCAGAGGCTTCCTACAATTAGAGAGCGTGTGATAAACATTACGTTTGACATTGTTAATAACGGTGCAGCACACCTTGATATTGTGTTTTTATTGTTGCTTGTACTTACCTGCAGAGCACCAATGGCAGCCGACTGGAAACGCAAATCGGTCTTGAAATCCTGAGCGATTTCACGCACCAAACGCTGGAAGGGCAGCTTGCGGATAAGCAGCTCAGTTGACTTCTGGTAGCGACGGATCTCACGCAGAGCAACGGTGCCGGGACGATAACGATGGGGCTTCTTAACGCCGCCGGTGGACGGTGCCGATTTGCGGGCTGCCTTGGTGGCCAGCTGCTTGCGTGGAGCCTTGCCTCCAGTTGACTTACGGGCTGTCTGCTTGGTACGTGCCATTTTCACTTAATACGCTGCAAGAAGATTTTTAAATTAGATTCCACTGCACTGGTTTCTGTGTCGAGAGCTGGCCGCACAAATGCGACGCTCAGCGCCGAAGCGCTGGCGCGCGACTGATGCGAATGTGGCAACTGTGGCTGCAACGAAGGCAGCAACAACATCAGCAGCAGCAGTAGCAGCAGAAGCAGCAGCAGCAGCAGCAGCGCCAAAAAAGACGAGGGTTGAAATCTTTAGCTTCAGCAGCTGCAGAAATTTTCCTTTTGTTCGGCTACGTGCTGTGCGTTTTCCTTAGCTTTGTATTTGGTTTGGGCATTCGGCTGCTTTCTGGGAACACTTCATAACTTCCACTTCAATTGCGACGTCGTCGTCGCTGCCGTCTGCTGCTGTTGCTGCAGCGACAGTGCGGCAGCCCACAGCTTTGAGTGCCCACTTGAGCCATTGTGTGAGTGCATACATTTTTTTATTTTTTTTATTATTATTTGTGTGCCTTGAGCTCGGCATGAATCGCTCTTTTTTCTCGCCCCAGCCTTTCTTTTATTTTTCATTATTATTTTTTTCTTTTTGTGCTATGCCACTCGAGCGTCGTGAATTTTTCGTTTTGCTTTTTATGCGCGCAGAATCAATCAAGTTGAAGTAATGAGTTGTAGTTTTTAGTTTTAGAGCTGCACACTGGAATACTGGAACACACACACGCACACTCACACATGCACACAAAGCATTCACTTGGAAAATATGCACAAGACTTTCTAGGAGGCCCGCAACAAACGGTAAACGCACTCGAGCAAAAACATAAAGCATCGATACTTTTAGTGAGAATCGAAAACTTGCATACCTTTACATAAATTTGAATGTATGCCGTGATGATGTCTATTCTTGTATAAGTCTCTGTTGTATATTTTTCCCATACTCAATAAGTATTTATTGTAAAGTTAAGCTTGAAATAATATAAAGAAAAATATCATTTTGATGAACCCCATTTTTTTGGAAAATCAGTTCATGTTCTTATATAGGAAGCATCTAATCCTGAACAAAAACCACAGTACATGAGATGTCCCATGCATACACAGCACAAACGACTCACATACATATGTAAATGCATGTGTATATGCACGTACATACATACAAAGCTTGCACTTACATACGCTCAGATGAATTCAGTATTGACACCATGCAAATATTAGTGATCACGAATGCATATGTGTGTGTGCAGCAAGTATGCATGCGCAAATGTATATACATATATATATGTACATATGTATACATATACGCAGGTGCTTCCTTTTGTGCATTGCCTATTTCATAACAATATTAGTAAGCAATGCAAAGGAACACACAGACTTGGCGCCCATTTGAATGCCAAATGTGTAAACGGGCTGGCAATATTGTGCATAAAACAGCGCGTTAATAGCAATAGATGTGACAGCGTGCGAGCGGGATAGAGAGAAAGAGAGCTGTACACAGGGAGCGAAAGGTGCCCAACCGAAAATTGCGTCGTTCGCATTTAACGCGCGCAAAACAATATCGCATCTTGCTGGTGCGTGTGAAACAGCTGCACATCCTACTGGCAAAATGCAGTTGTGTGTATGGGGGTGTATGTTCACTTCACTAATGCGACATACATACATGCATGTAGATATGCTGAAATTGCAACAATTGGGGTTAGAAGAGACGCTGTACCGTTTGAGCACAATAGCGTATCAAATAAAAAAAAAGCCAACAAGCTCACACACATACAAACGCATGCTTAAAAGTTCATGCGCATGTGTCACTACCAGTGTGTATGTATATGTTTGTGTGTGTGTGTGTTTGTGTCGAGCGCTAGTATACACACGCATACAATTAAGCAAAACGAAAATAACAATAAAAGTTGGCCAGAATCAAGTTGATATGTCATAATCAAAAGTACAGTATACAATATAAATCGAACTAAACAAACACACAAACAACATCTGCGCGCTCATTTTGTTCTTTTCAATTTCAATAACATTCCAACAACTGTTTGTTTGTTTGTTCAATAAATATTTTGTAATTATTATAAACTTTTTCCTCAAATTGTCTGCAATGGCCGCCATTTTGAAAACAAAACACAAGTACACCACACTAAAGTGTGCCCATGCACCCGTCGTGCAAACGAAGTCACCATCAACCGCAGTCGCTGTCGCATTGTGTGTATCCATTAAAAAAAAAGCTAAGCTAGCACGAAAAGTGGTGCTCCGCCGGCCGTCCAAAGGAGCCCCCCCACATCAAAAAACAAAACAAATTACTTTTTTACACACTAATTGCGACACTCAGAGCATCGACGCGGGCACTTTCACCATTTAACACAAAACAAATGTGGCTAACAAAATTGTTGATAAAATAAATGTAAAGGCCCACTCACCGTGACGAAAATTTATAATTTATTTAGTTTTATAGAATATTCACGGAGAACACGATGTGTATCCAACGGGGACCGATTTCACAATGATTCGGTATCGATGTTTTCTGGAGTCTTCTATATCGATATTTGTTCAATTGCTAGTTTGGCGATATATTGTCAGAAAAATATCGTTAGCTAACACTGCTCACTATCGGCAGCCGTGAAGATAAATATGTTCAATTGGAGAAAAACTGACTTAAATAAATGAAACAATTTTAATCTTATTGACGCAGCACAGTTGATTTTAAAATGTAATTATTATTATTAATATTGTATTTTGGCGCCAAAATAATCTCTGTCTATTTTGTGAATAGCATGTTAATGCAAATTAATATAATTGATGTTAAGCTAACAGAACCATTAACATAACAGTTCCAAATTGAGTTTAACATTACGCAGTGTGCCCGCTTGTGGCTTAACACATATGCAATACCTATTTCAGACCCACAATAGTCAGTTACACGACCCGCGGGTTGGTTGTGTGTTACATTGCTGCTCTAGTAGAAAGGTATTTGAAAGCAAAGTGCAACGGATATACATAGTTTATGTTGGTTCTGTTTGTTTTATAACAAATCTGCGCGTGATTTTGTTTCAATTGAACTTAATTTTTTTTACTGTGCGCGTTTGTGTAGAGCTGTTCAAACTGCGCTCGCCTATTATTGTATTTGTGTAGGTCAAGGTGAAGCCGCTGCTGCAGGCAGCGGCTGGCAGCGCAAAGAGGACTGCAAGAAACAGCTGCCCAAAGCACCGTTAGTTTGCTGCTGCTGATATTGTTGTTGTTGCCTTGGCTCTCATTGAGCGCAATTCGTTTTCAATTACGCATTTAACGGTGTCAGCAGGACGTAAATATAGGGCAGCTGTGTATATGTATATACATGTATGCGTGTGTGGTGTGTGTGTGTGTGTGAAACCTTAAAAGTCCATATATACTAGTATTTTTTTTTTTTGCAAAAGTTGCTTTCCTTTTCGCACTCGCGCAGCAACTCTAGGCACAGCACACACATACACACACATACACACACACACACACGTACACCTATTTATGCACACACGTTTATCTCGATCGCTGATAAGCAACCGAACCAACAATAAACATTTAACTATTGCAGTAGAACGTTTAGCATCACATTTTGCACAACCACAAAAACAAAACAAAAAAAAAAATAAATAAAAAAACATAAATAAATAGTAACAATAACAATCAGAAACAGCGGGACAAAGGCAGACAAAACGGCGTTTCTACAGCAGCGTCGCCTTTTCAGCGGCGGCGGCGTCGGCGTCGGCGTGTTGGGCGGCAGCGGATCCATGAAACAACAACAGCCGCCGCCGCTGCCACAAACGCAGCCGCCGTCGCTGTCGCTGTCGCAGTCAGCCGCTGGAGCAGGAGGAGCATCAGCTGCCGAGGGCAGCGCTGTGGCCCATGCCATCAGCAGTCTCAATGGCAGCAACAACAGCAACAACAACAACAACAACAACAACAACAATGCTGAAACGGCCAGGTGTCGCCCACCTTTGTATCCAAAACGTAAGTTTCAATCTATATACTAATATGTATATCTATATTTAATTAAAATGAATGACTAACTGACTAGTTAGTCAGACCGACTGATTGATCAAGCGTGCTGCAGTAGTTACCTGTTATGCTGCACCTGAACCTGAACTCCAGTCAACTACCAAGCCGAGCTCTAACAAAAGATTTCACCCTTAATGGTGGAAAATTGGTGAAAACGAAGTTTAGTTCTTAAAATTGATGCAATAATTCGTTTGATATGCGATAGCAAATAAATATTGATTGAAAACGTGTTTCATCCATTTAAGAATTTACCTCAATTAGTCAGTCGCAGGTGCTGCACGAATTCACATTCACAGACAGCTCTCAACACGCGATTGCCCATTTGTGATTCACTCAAATCGCTGATGAATGTGTGTCAGCGTTTCATCTAAGCCCCAAGACCCAGAGTCTGAGACTCTCAATCGCAATCAAAGTGAGCGGACGACTCAAATTGGGTAATCGCAGGCACTAAATGGCTAAAAGCGTGCACACGTTAGTTGCTCGAGCTAAATTAAGTCGCCTGTGGCAATATTCTATATCAACTCTGGAAATTTTTGGCTGCGATAACACAAGCGGCTTGTTTGCCATTCTCGCAAGGTAAACAAACGCATGGACTCTGACTCTTCCAAAAATTCGTAATTCCTTGAATTACGGTCTTATTGAATCTCTTCTCTTAGTCCACAATCGGGAGGAAGGGAACAGATGTCTAAGTTGGCTGAGATTAGAACGCGTCGATTAGAGAGACATTTGCAATAGTACAGAATTTTGAACTTTTACTTTATCAAGTAATCACTTTTCTTAACTAACTTTTCACTAGACTTTTTGAGAGTTTATAAAAAAAAAAAATTAAATAATTCTAATAAAAATATTGAAATTTCTGAATGTTCCCTCGTAAGTGATTCTGGTCTTTAAGAGGGTGCTGGTTCGAAGCCCAGGCTAGAGCATGTATTTAGTATTTTCTTACTAAGCAAAGATAAACGAAATAAATTAATTGACTGGTCACATTATTTCTGTTCTCTCAGTGTACTCTCCAAATAATTGAACTGAGTGTGACCGTATAAGCTCATCAGTTACATAGTTTGTGAATAGTTTGCTTTTATTTATTTTCTTGTGGCTGTTGTTGTTGCCTGGTTCCCTTCCACTATTTGTTTTCCTTTCTTTTAGTTTCTTTTGCTCGTTCTCATTTTGGCACAACAACATTTGCGGTCGCAGCCGCTTTCGCTCTGGCTCTGGGCTTCGGCCTCGGCTTCAGTCTCGGTCTCGGCCTTAACTAGCCGCAGATCACGCTGCGGTTTCTGTTGTCTGCCCATTTTCGGTGGGCGTAGAGCGTGCGCCGTGACTATTTCCAGTTTGCCGACTGACTTCAGACTGCAGCCCGGAGTGGGCCCAGGGTGGGGGCCCCTGGCAATGGGCATGGCCATGGTCATGGCAATGGCAACGTGACCGCAGCTAACAGTAGTTGACATGTCGTTGGCGTTCGCTTCATTCGTGCTGACATGTTGTCTTCTTCTTTCTCGGACCCCTTTTTGGGTCGCCTCAAAGGGGCGTTGGGCCGGCCATTTGATATGCTTTGGGGCCAAGCCGATGCAAGCAAACACAAATTAAAGAGTACAACAAGAAGGCAAATACAAACAAACTAATACTCAAACCTAATTCAATTGCTGCTCTTAGCTAAAGCTAACTGAATTCACCTTTAAAAGAGTATTGTCGATAAGTATCGACTTGCCAGCTTCAAACTTTTGGGCATATCTCGAGGACTAAAAGAGCTAGAGACACCAACTTTGGTATGCAGGCTCTATTATAGCATACGAATGCCAAAAATATATCACTTTCCAAATATCAGGCTGTGAAGTGGAGTTACGTGTAGTTATCCCAAATAGAAAGTGACAGATCTTTCTAAAATTTCTTTTGTGAGCATATCTCGAGGACTAAAAGAGGTAGACCCCCCAATTTTGGTATGCAGGCTCTATTATAGCATACGCATGCCAAGAATGTGTCACTTCACAAATAACAAGCCCTCAACTGGAGTTACGTGTAGTTATCCCAAATAGAAAGTGACAGATCTTTCTAAAATTCCTTTTGTGAGCATATCTCGAGGACTAAAAGAGGTAGACCCCCCAATTTTGGTATGCAGGCTCTATTATAGCATACGCATGCCAAGAATGTGTCACTTCACAAATAACAAGCCCTCAACTGGAGTTACGTGTAGTTATCCCAAATAGAAAATGACAGATCTTTTTGAAATACCTATTGTGACTAGCTTTGAACAGCCTCGGGCTGGGTACGAACACGCACACCTACACACACTTATATATATATATATATATATATATGTATCTCAGGCTCATGCGTGATAAGATAAACAATATTTTAGCTAGCTTTGTCGTATCGTCAATTATTCAATTTATTTATAAGACGTGTGCGTTGTGCTCACAATGTGCTCATTGGTATTTTATCTACCTTAGTCACGCGCTGACGTCACAAGCTTCCACTTGCATTTTGTTGTTTCCATTCGGTAATTTGCGACAAATTTAAACATTTAACATCAACATTGCAAATTATTAGTGTTTATTTTTTCTTTCTCCATCTCTCTCTCTCTCTCTTTCTCTCTCTATTGTTAATCTTTGTTTCTAATTGCGAACAGTGTGCGCCGTCCCCCTCTGGAAATGCTGCGTTTGAGAAGTCATTAAAAAGTGCCTCATTGTTGTATAAAACTAAACGTTCTCGTTGTCCCAGCTGGCAAATGATTACACATGTTATTGTTGCTCCATTGCATTGTCTAAATAAGGGGCGTTTATGCCAGCCTGCACTCGGGAGGCGGCAACGGTAATAGGGGAAACAAATGTTAATGTTGCCGCAACTGGAGCGTTAATCAGCGCAGAGCGCCCCTGTCAACTGGCTCAAAACAATGACAATTGCCGAATGGCCAAGTAGAAAGCAGAATTTGCTCACGAAGGACATGGTTAATGCTTGTACGAATTAGAAAAAGGCTCAAGGACTGAAATGTGCTTAAAACCAGGCTCATTTTCAAAGATCTTTGCTTCAGTTTCACACTTTTCGAAAAATCCATTCCTTCTTGGTGAAAATGGTGGTGGGTGGTTTTACAGTTTTGGCTAAATTAAAGCTTTCACGGTGGAAAATGCGATTGAAAGATGTTTTGGGCGAAGTTTTAAGTTTTGTCCGATTTGGTTCAAACTTATTTTCAAAGCTCTACATAAGAACTTAATGAAAACATGTTTCAGGTTTTGATTTGGTAAATTCCACCCGACACAGTGGAAAATTGGCGGAAAACATTTGTATGAAAGATTTTGCTTTGTACTTGTCTTTGTCTTTAAGCTTAAGTAGATTAAAAAATGATTTGTTGCAAGAATCCTGAAAATGCATGGAAAATAGAAGACGACATCAAAGTCAAAGGAATCGCATGGCATCTGATGAAAGGAATTGAGTGGAATGATATTGAATGGAATCTTGGGATCCAACGAGATTTGTAGAAAAATGCAAGGCAAGAATTTCACATGAAATTTCTACGCATGCACATTGCAACAGGAACAGGAGTTGGGGATGCCAATAGAGCTGGAGACCGGCACGTTGAAGCAATTGGAAGGTGACGGTGATGGGGGCCACAGGCTAAAACTGTGGAGCTACTTCAAACGTGCATCAATTGTTCGAAAAGCGAACGATTGGAATTCTCAACGTGCTGCAACTCTATTTATGGAACATTGGGAGCACCTCGAGTGGCCCTTTGCTGGTGCGATCTGCGGTGGTTGTTGCTGCTTTTGCTGCTGCTGCTGCTGCTGCTGCTGTTGCTGCCTTTTGTTTGTTTACTTTATGCCTTTGAGGCGGCAGACGGACAAAAGCTGCAACACGATACCAAGCCCGATGCCGTTGCACTGTGTTCAATGGCTGGCTGGGCAATGGCAATAGATGGCCTGGTCGGGCCAGGCGTTGGCGGTGTGGTGGGGGTGTTGCCTTTGCACTCGTGCGTTGAACAAGAGCCACTCGAAAGAAACTACAGTTGCCAGTTGCAAGCTGCAAGCCGATGGAGGCAACAGACGAGGCCCAGCCAGAACCAGCTCGAATTGAACTTAATTGCATGAAATTGAGACACGAGACTTGATACATGAGACGAAAAGACGCGAGACGTGAGACGCAAGACGCGAGACGCGAACTGCGAGCTTCGAACCGCGAGAATCCGCGCACAGATTCATTCAAACTCATGCGTCGTCTTCAATTTGGAACTGTGTGCTAAGTGCGCCGTCAAATGAGCTGTCATAATGATGATATCGTCGCTAGAAGTGGAGTACACTTAGCTAGAGATGGACGACACGATTAGAAAAGTGATAATAGAGCTACCATTCTGTTGCTATATAATTATGGTTGTACTGTCAAAAGTCTGAACTATATTGTTAAGAGCTTCAAAAATATGTAAATAATGTTAACGAGGGCAAGCCGAGCTCACTTGATAATCACAGGTGACAAGTTACTCTGAACCGCTGCACCTACAATTATGCTAACCTTGTTCTATGCGAAGGTATTAAGAAGATGAATTATTGCTAATATGTGCTAACTATACGAGAATCTACATACCAAATATGCTGTAAATAATTCTTATAATTCTCGAGCTATGCTTAAAACACCATTCTCACATATCGATATTTATCGATAATATTAAATATAAAAAAAATTGCGCGTATGTCGTAAGAGAATATATACATATATGCTAAAGTATACCATATATACCTTATATTTAATTTTGGATAAGCTTCGAACCGTTGAGACTGCCTAACTTAAGGGCACAATTCAGTTATTTTGTGCTAGAACTGATCCCTCTCTAAAAGCAACTGTAGTTCTCTTATATATCGTTTCGGCTCGTCTCGTGCTCGTGACACGCTGCCAGCTCTAACGGCTTATAGGCTCGCATGTAAAATGCTGCACATTTCTGTTGGACCCCCATTTTGGGGGCCAACATGCTCAAGTGGTTGACACCCGTGAACTCCAGCAAATGTGTCTAACAGCAAATGTAACGCAGCCATTAACGATGAGAATATGTGCCTCAAACATCCCCCCCGTCCCCCCCTCAGCGCTGTTTGCCCCTTTACACATATTGTTGTTGCCCCGCCAGTTGCATCGATGACAAAGTCTAGCCAATGAACTGTGAATGCATTGTGAGTGGGGGCAGGGGTTGGCTTTCAAACGAACTCGAGGCATTACAAACGACCACATAAACATGTCAAATGGCGTGGGCAGGGGCGTTGGCAGTGTCAGGGGCGCTGGCCAGAGGGGGGCCAAATGAACTAACTGCATTCGCCCGCACAAAACAAAGCGCCGCGTCGGATAAAGATCTGATTTTGTGAGTTGATTTTCGAATTAGGGCCAAGATTTGTGTGGCACTTGCTCCGGCCTGAACGAGCGACTGACTGACCGACTGAATAAATAATTGCATGCTGAATGCATGGGCATATGGCAATGTTTGAGCCCGTTTTTACTGCTCAACAGAGTCGACATTTTGGCTACATTCATTTGTATATATTAAGCGCATTTTGCACATTTATCTGACAGATGCCGAAGCAAATACTGATACAGATACAGCTGAAGAGTTATCTGTGGACAAGTCCGAGTCGCTTAAAAGTCTTGAGTAAACAGCGTTCATTGCTCTTCTTCTGTTTATACACTTGCACGGGGTAGAATGAATTTGTCATGGAGTATGCGATGCATAAAATTATACGCACAGTTGTCACGGGCATGATCCTCCGAATATTTCTCCAGATATCTTGTCCAAACTCAGCAAATACGATACTCTCTTAACATATCAAAAAATCCGTATATTAAAGCACATCTATATCGTGTGTGTCTACAAGGGTATTTCAACTTCGGCGCACAAGAGTAAACGCTCTTTCGAGTTTGTCTTTTGTTCTGTTTGTTGATTTAGGCACGAATTTTGCAACAATTGAGCAAATTTACAGATCAACTACAACGGCAACGACTTAACGAATACGCTTCCTGGAATGCGCCTCAAGAAAAGCCACGCCACATAGTGTATCCGCATGCGGCTCTGGCGACAGAATGCGCGGCTAGGTGAGCTCGGAAAAATGCCTATCTACATATTAAAGAATATGTATAAACAAACATAAGCCCACACGCTACTTAATTATACTCCATTTATTATAAAACCACATTGATGTGGTCTTCTGCTTATCGAATTTATACCTTGTCGTAGGCTTTGCGAATATATGGCCATACATATACATATGTAAAATATATGTTCGTATTTATATAAATATATAATTGTAATTACGCACTTACTTGTAAATTCACACAATTGATTATTTTATCTTCATCGATCAGTAGGCAGGAGACGAACATCAATGAAAACACATCACTGAAAGAAGAGAAAAGAAGAGATACTTTTTATTAGCCTGAAAACGCAGCTCGCAAGCTAAACCTTACTTAAATTAGTGAGAATCGCGGAGAAGAGTGATATCGATAAATACAATTATTGTGAATTACCAGCTCAGCTCCAACATACACATACATATATCAAAACACATATATGTATATACGTGTGTACGAAGCAACATGCATACTTATGATTGCAATAGTTGTTGCTTTTTATATGTATCAAAGTTATGTTTATAATACGTGCCGGTATTCCAAAGAGCCTCCGCACATTCCATAGCCACTGCCTCCTTCATAGTTTTATTCATCTCCTCCTTTACTCAAGCTGATATCTTCTCCAATACAAAATCCACCAGCTCCTTACTGTTGAAGCCTCCATCCTCTTAGCTTAAGTTGCCGCCTCCTCCAATATTAAAGCGCCTCCTCCTTTGTTCAAGTAGCCGCTTCCTCTAACAGTCAAGCCGCCGCCTCCTACTTTAAGTGAAGTCTATGAGACTTACTTGAGTTCTTGAGAATCGCGTAGTAGGGCATTTGTTATGAGCACGTTATATTTTAAATTTGCACACATACATACATACATATGTACATGCATACATACATACATATGTACATACATACATACATACATACATACATACATACATACATACATACATACACACATACATACATACATACATACATACATACATACATACACACGTATGAACGTAACACAATTTGTCACCAGAAAAAGAATCAAACACTTACTAAAAGTAAGGAAACCTGCCGGGCTTACTTGAATTCATGAGAATCGAGGAGTAAGGCATCGCTAAAAAGTACGTTACTTTTAAATTTTTAGCGCAGCGGGAATTTAACTATGTCTTTATTTGCTTCATAAATGTATACATACCCACAAACCTACGAACATATAATAAATACATACATATATACATACATATATACATACATACATACATACATATACGTACATATATATACATACATACATATACATACATATAATACGAGAAACGTATTAAATAAATGTTGAAAAATATATTCGAAAATTAGTGTTGGGCTATGCGTTTCTATCTAGATTCGCTCTCTTTAGAAACTATCGATAACAAGTCAATTTTTTCAAGCGATGTCACAAAAGAAAAAGAAAAACAAAGTATTGCTTATAGTATTGAAAGACCTAGTGGTAGTAAGGGTATATATATTTATGGGCGACGGACTACCCCTAATAAATGACATTAAATGCACTACAAGCCGAATTGAACCCATATTTACGATTTGTTCTGTCGCAATTGTCAATGCCATTTAGCTGGCAGCTCTTTAAAGTGTTGCATAAGCAGCCCTTAAGGAAACATGCCTCAGCTCGGGCGCATTTGTAAACAAGGAAATCGTTTCTTGTAAACACTTAAGTGCAAGACTTCCTTTGGCTAATTGCCAACTGGGTGGCCACTTCTGGAGGGGGCTGCCTTCGACTTGTGTTCTCTTGTCTTTCCTTTCTTGGTGTTTTCTTTTTTGCGCATTCTAATATCCGGTTTCTGTTGCAATTTGAATGTTGTTGTTATCGATAAGTGCGCTCAGTGGTGTTTAAGGGTTGAAAACCACCCACGAGGGTGCTAATAGTCTCTGCGATTTCCTGCCCGGCGCACGCGTCTGAGTTGTTGAGAGTTGCCCAATGGATTTGCCTACTTAACTCGATTAAATGCTTGCCACACATGGCAAGTGACAGTGCCGAGGCAGAGAATGCGGAGCGCCCACCCTTAGCCTGAGTAGCGCACAAGGGGTGGGTGCAGGAACATGCAAGCCGCAAGTGTTGCCATATTGCGCGAAGGTAGTCCAGCTCACCGGAGTTGCAGCTATATATTTTATGGAGCTTGCGATATGTCAATCGATAAACAAGCAGAGTGTAATAAAATCGATATGTAATCGATGCACTTCGACGCAGTTATCGATAAGTTTTAGTTTTCGTTGTTGGTTTAACTAAAGCTTTCGCTCTTGTCAAGCAAAAATGTTTTTCTATCGATATATGTCGATAACTAGCAAAATCGATTACGATAACTATCAATAATATGTGGGCTTCTTTGCTTTTCGTGTATCTTTTTTGTATTCTGATATGTGCTGCGGTCAGGGGCAACCGACTCCGATATACTCTGCCTAAAGCAGGCAATGGAGGGAGTTTCAAACTGCGACTTTTAAAATTATAGTGTGTACAAATAATTGGGTCAATCTTTAGAGATGTTTTGTGAATTCGGCTCTAAGTATGTACAAAATAAAGAGGAAAAGTGCATTCAAATGGACAATCGGACGGACAGCAAGACGGACTTTTCACAAAACCCATATACTGCTTCTCACCTCTTGAACAGGGTATAGTCATTTATCGTCATCTGGCAACGCTGCGCCGCTTGCAACCACCAACTAATCTAGTTGCAGCTACCAAGTGGCATAGATTCGCTTGGACACAGCTCCCGCTATCGCTGCCCCCACACCCGTCCCCCCCGCCTATTGCTCTGCCGAGAATTGCACGGGCGGCCAGTGTTGTGCGCCGGCGCAGAGAGCGCAACACGCGGGTGTGTTGCCATCCCGTTATCCTTGCGCCAGAGAGCGAGAGCTTGTGGGAGAGAGAGAGAGAGGCTAGTGAGAGCGCTAAAATGGCCCATTAAAGTTTCATGGGCTGTTCTTTTTTTCGTTTTCTTTTTTTTTTTTTTTTGTTGTTTTTCTGTTTTTGGGCATGTTTCGCTCTGTTCAGCTCTGTGGCTTGAAGCGTGCTGAGGCTGTTCCACGCACAGGAAAACCGATAAACAAATAAGGAGAAAACAAAATACAATAAAGTGTTCAATAAACTCGGGGATTTTTCAATTAAATGTTTCGAAAATAATATATAAACAACAATTCGACTCTAAACTAAGACAACAAGACCTAAAAGACAACAAGACTTGGGTCCAAGGCAAGGCCCCTTAGATACCGAAATAGGCGGCGTTGGGTATATACACACACGCAGCGGGCAGAGACGCTAGGCGAAAGACAAATCAACACACAGCATCATGTGTAAGTAGATTACAAACACACAAACACACACACACACACACACACACACACACACACACACACACACACACACACACACACACACACATGCAGGTGGTAAAGTGGCAGCGGGTGTGCCACAGTGAAGTAGCTCGTGAGTGTGCCTATGTGCGCTCTAGTGTGTGTGTGTGTGTGTGTGTTGGCACTTGGCCTAAACGGGCCAAGCAATTCGTTTGTTTTGCACTAATGAGCAAATGAAGCTGGCACTCAGCTCCCAGGAGGCGGCAGCTGCCGCTGCTGCACGTGCCCCAAACCCATTGCCCCACTCCAGTCCACTCCACTCCACTGCATTCCACTCCAACTGCAACTGCAACCAATTGAGCTGACACTAATGTTTCTTTCGTAATGGCTTGTTGGTATTTGCAGCAAAGACACCATCGTTTGACAAGGATCGGGATTATATTGGCTTTGCCACGCTGCCGGAGCAGGTGCATCGGAAGTCGGTGAAGCGCGGCTTTGAGTTCACGCTGATGGTCGTTGGCGAATCGGGTCTGGGCAAATCCACATTGATCAATAGCCTATTTCTGGGTGATCTCTACAAGAATCGCCAGATGCCCAATGTGGAGGATCGCATCGAGAAGACAACGCGCGTCGAAAAGAAAACCATGGACATTGAGGAGCGCGGCGTCCGACTGCGTCTGACCGTTGTCGATACGCCCGGCTTTGGGGATGCCATCAACTGTGAGGATAGCTGGCGCGTTTGCACCCAGTACATTGATGAGCAGTTCCGTCAGTATTTCACCGATGAGAGCGGCCTCAATCGCCGCAATATACAGGACAATCGTGTCCATTGCTGCTTGTACTTTGTGCCGCCCTGGGGACACAGGTGAGTAGCTGCCAGGCAATGTTCACAAAATGTGTTTAACGGCCTTGCGTTCATTGATAGCCTGCGGCAAATGGATTTGGATCTAATACGGCGTCTGCATCGTAAGGTTAACATTGTGCTGGTCATTGGCAAGGCCGACTGCCTGAACAAGACGGAGGTGCGCAAGCTAAAGGAGCGCATATTACAGGATCTCGAGGATAATCACATACAGCTGTATCAGTTTCCCGAGTGCGATTCCGATGAGGATGATGATTTTAAGCAGCAGGATCGCGAGCTAAAGGCCTCCATACCATTTGCCGTTGTTGGCAGCAATACCATACTCGAGGTTGCCGGCAAGAAGGTGCGCGGCCGTCAGTATCCCTGGGGCGTGGTCAACGTGGAGGACGCTGAGCACAGCGACTTCATCAAGCTGCGCACATTCCTCATATCCACGCACATGCAGGACCTAAAGGACACCACACAGGTGAGTTAACACCTCGAGCGGCTCAATAAATACAACGATTTGCTAATGCCCCTCACATCGCATTCGCAGGATGTGCACTACGAGAACTTTCGGGCGCAGTGCATCTCACAGATATCGCAGCATGCGCTGCGCGAGCGCGGCAAATTGAAGCGTGACTCGATTAGCTCAACGAACGGATTCGATGCGGCCATTTCGGAAACGGATCGCCTGCTGCTGCAGAAGGACGAGGAGATTCGACGCATGCAGGACATGCTAACGCAAATGCAGGAGAAGCTCAAGCAGACACATCTCATGGAGATGAAGAAGAACGACAGCGTCATCGATGTCTAAAATGCTGACTCTCTGCCCAGTTCGCGTGTTCAATTTTGCACCTTGATACATATATATACACGTATATATATATTAAGTTATATAAATATAATACTTATATAGACACTTCTTCTACACCAACACACACACACACACATTTGCCGCTACATGGGCAAACAACCACCAAAAATTTTCGTTTTTAAGATAGCACAGTTTCCAGTTAACCGAATTTTTGTTCTGAAAATTTTTACCTTAAGCTTTTCTGTAGTTAATGAAAACAAAAACAACAACAACGAGCAGTGAATAGAATATCGTTTTTTTTTTTTCTACGTCTTCTTCTAGTTCTTAAAAGGCATTTGCCATACGGATTCACTTGCAAATTTTGTACAAGCGTCTCGTAGCTGAGCATTGACCAAAGTTGTTTTTTTTTTTTTTTAAATTTGTCTAGAATTTACCACAAAAATCGAACAATTACGCTAGACTTTTTAGACGAAAACGCTTTCACCTCAAATTCGCCAATTTTCTTATAAGCAAACAAAACCTTTTCAATTGTTGAAAGTAGATTTAATTTTATAACTAACTTCTAAATAATGCCCAATAATATAGTGTAACCAAAAGAATTCTTTTAACGACACGAGACTATGCCCAAAACATAGCTGTTGGCTTAAAAGCGAATTCCAGAATTCCGTAAAACAGTTAAAATCGAGCTCGCAATGGACGTACAATACCAAAGTAAAATGAGTTTAAAAAACTGAACGACAAAGCAGACTAAAAGAAAAACTAGAGGCAAACCGAAACGTATATATCTGTATGCATATATATATATAGGACCTATTTTTTTTTTTTTTTAATTTCTATTTTTTGTCTTGAAAAACAAACTCCTAATTTGTTAAAACGAATTGTTAATGAATTTATTTTTTAAATGATTAATTAAGCAACAAGCAACATAATAATTAAATGAAAATTATAGTGGAAAAATTATATACACATAATAATAATAATAATAAAACGAAAAAAAATTAAAATCAACTATTTAAAATAAACATTAATATGAAAATTAACTATGTCCTCTTTATTAAGACATACCCAACATATGTGGGCGGAGATTTTGTGAACACATTTTAGCGCCAATTCTGCGGAAAATTCTTTGGGCAAAGCTCTGCGTCTATTCAAGCGGACTCTTACATGGAATCTGCGACCCTAGAGTGGACCCAAGTGCGCCGAACTTTGCGCTCTGCTAAATTTCAATTCTACTCAAAATATTGCAAGCCATACAAATTTTCAAACAGCAGTTGGAGGCTAAATTTGAACTCCCTCCATAGTCGACAGCTACCAAATATGTTTAGATAAAAGACAATTTAAACAAGTATAACGTGTTTGTGCAAATGCATGTAACAGACAGAAGGAAGCATCTCCGAGCCCATAAAGTATATGTATATATATTCTTGATCAGCACCAATAGCCGAGTCGGTCTTGCCATGTCCGTCTGTCTGTCCTGTTTCCTGCAATCGGTAGCTTGCCCCGTTGCCAGGCAATCGATAAAAATCGATTTTTTTTTGCAAATCTGACATGTTTTATGAGCTAGACACCACCAAATTAGACATGTCACTACTTGAATATTGTATATATATCAAGTATCTTAAGTACATTATAGATATCGATATAGAAAAGTGTACAGGGTATTCCCAAGCAGGGAACTGCCGACTAGACACTCTTACTTGTTAAAAAAAAGAAATGGTTCGGTTCGAGTTTCTGTTCATTCGGTCAGCTAATTGGATTTGAAGTTGGATTGACTAGATATAAATAAATGAGGAATAGGGTTACGGGTGTGTGTTTTGGCTGCAACCGACTGCGCAATACTCTGCTCGCACGGAGTTTAGATTACTGGACAAGTGACTTGAAAACTGTGCAGTGACTGTCAAAGAATGATTTGATAATATATATATTTATTTGTATTCGGCTCAAATTTGAAAGAAATTAAAAATTCAGGCAATTATCGCCCCAAACCAATATACTCTTGTTCAACTTGAGAGAAAGGTGTATGAAGGAAATTATTTAAATATTTTTATTAGCCACTGGAATGCAATTAATCAATTTCCGTCAATTCATTTAGATTTATTTATTTCTCTCTATAATTGTTTCTCACGTTTGTATCTTTTATGCATATACACATATGTATACATATACACACACATATACATATATATATACATGTTCTCTTGCCATATACACATATATGTATGTCTGGTATGCCAATTGCTTGGTTTACAATATATGTCTTTGGGATTTACATGTATGCATATCTCATCTCTGCGAATTGTTTGCCAAAATGAATCAACTTTTTATTTATATATATATTTTGTTTTTGGTTTTTTTTTTTTTGGTTTTTTGCATGCCATTTTTTGGGTTAGAATTCATTTCATAAATGTTAATGCTTATTACACATACATATAGCTACATATGTATATACTTAAAAACATATACACGCGTATATATATATATTAGTATATATGTACATTTAATGGGTTATTCGAGAGACAGAGACGAGCACAAAAAAACCTATAAACTTGTTATGCAATATGGGTAGCCCATTTAGTTTTTTGGTTGTTTTCTTTTCAATTTTTTTTATTATTATTAATATTTTTGACGTATGTATACGCTCGTCAGTGGAAAGGTTTGCTCTTTTTTTTACTCAATTTTACTCAATTTTTCTCAACTTTACTTTAATTTGTAATTGTAAATTGTATTTCCTGTTTTTGTATGTTTTTTTTTTTATCATCTTTTAATCTTGAATTCAAACTCGTTTTGCATTTGCAATTTTTAACTTGGCTATTAACGGTTCAATTCGTTTTTCTAGCCTCAAGCGTACTCGTAGTTTGCCTCACAAACCTTTTCTTTAACTAGTTTTATACCATTTTTTCATTTTTTTTTTTTTCATATTTAATATTGATTACCTTTTCCTATATTCCATTTAACATTCGTTTGCCATTTAATATCAATTGCGAGTGTGTCTGTGTGTGTGACTTTATGTCTTTGTGCATGTATACTGCGTATGTGTGTGTGTGTGAGTATGCGTGTGTGTGTTTGTGTGTGTGTGTTGAGTTCTCTTGTTGATCTTGTATATAATTGTAAAAATTTAAAAAAAAAAATGTCTAACTGCATTCATGTAACGCCAGCGTTACATTTATATACATACATATATATATATATATATATATGTATATAATATATATATACAAACACATCGATTTATATATATATATTTATATGTATATATATATACACATATATTATATAATATACGTATCATATCTCTGCTAGTTTTCGTGCTCTCATATATATATTTTTTTTTTTGCAATTTTGCCCGAATTTTCAGGCTCATCTTTTGCCACATTTCCATGCGTTATCCTGCCTCTGTTTGTTCTTATTATTTTTTTATATTATTAAGTATTAATCTTTGTTCTTAACAACCGTCGCCTGCGCACATTTTCTATTTTTCCATTTGAGTTTTGTTTTTGGTGTTTTACATTTCACTTAAGTACAAAACTTGCCTTGCTTTTTAGTAAATACATTTTCCTGTGACCTTTTCCCTTTGATAGATACATTTCAATGCCCTTCTTTTGGCTTCTCCGCATAACAATATCTGCATATATATGTATATATATATATATATATATTCTTGTTCATTTTAGTCTAAACATATATCTACACAATGCATGTGTTTTTTATTTGCAGTTCACAAAAAAAAAAAAAAAAAAAAAACAATACGCCGTGGTGTACAGCTCTCAGCACAACAATCCACAAAATATTTTTCAACATTTTTCGCATAGCTTTCACAAAAAAAAAAAAATACTTTGGCCAACCTGTGCTATAATGTCACTTTATCCATACTATAACAGCTATAATTATGGGACGTAGCTTACTAGCAAAAAAAAGACTTTAATTTATATAATACTACACGCATATGCATATATAATTGTATATATTTATGTATATACACTGATATACTTGACGGCATGCCCTTTGTAATAGGATAAGAGCATCATTGGTAACCCTAGCCAGGGTATTATAGTGTCACTATCTATGTTAATTATAACAGTACGATAAGTAAATATCGATAAAGAAAAGCGGCTGCAGAGAAGAAGTGGAAGGCGGTCTCTCTACAGTACTAGCAGTAAGAAGACGTGTTGTTAAAAATAAAAAGGCAACCCGAACATAAGTTAAATCAACGAAGAAAATCATACTATTACAATATCAGAAGTGGGATTGACTCAGAAAAAAAAAAAAAAAAACACAACAAAATGGAAAATATAAATATAAATGACGTGTCAATAGCGACATTGAAAAGTTGGTTGGCATTACTAAATTTGCCAACAGAGGGTACCAAAACTGAGCTGATGGCGAGATTAAATAAGGTACCAGTGGATATCCGAGACGATGCTGCAAAGGAACTTGAAGTTCAACGTAACAAGGAACAGACAATTGAGGCTCAAAATGAGTTGCAAAACATAATGCAACAACAGCGTGACGAAATAGCAAATGGCGCCGAGATGCTGAAATTGATGCGTCTCGAAATTGAAGCGTCTCGAAAATTCCTAGAAGAATTTCAAGTAACGGTGAACCGCAACTCGCACATCGGCGGGAGCGACGGGGGAGAGCAAGAAAGTGAAGTCGGCGATTTATTGCAGCTAGAGGATGGTCACACTGAAGAAAGACCACGGTCGACGGATGGCAACGCTGGTGCAGCTGATTACACTGGAACGGATGGCAACGCTGGTGCAGCTGATCACGCTGGTGCAGCGGGCAACGCTGGGGCAGCTGGAAGGATCGACGAAAGTGGCAACGCTGTCGGAGGCAACTTAAATAATTGCATCCAAACTGGAGCGATGATGTTAGCCAAGGAAATTTTATTAGAATTTACTGGAGAAAGTGAGGTGCGTAAATGGGTAATGCAATTCTTCAATGTGGCCAAGATCTACAGACTAAATGATATGCAACAGCACTTGCTTTGTATAAGCAAATTGAAAGGCGGTGCTTTGAAGTGGTTGCATGCAGACCCTATGCGCATCATTGCTCCGATTGACGAGATGCTAAATCAATTGGTTTTGGCCTTCGGGGGAGGATTTTCGAAGTCGGAACTACGACAGAAGTTCGAGGATCGGGTTTGGAAACCAGATGAGGTGTTCGCCACATATTTTAGCGAAAAAAGCATATTGGCACAGGACATCAACATTGATGTAGAGGAGTTAATGGAGGGTATTATTCGAGGCATACCTTGCGAAAACTTGCGCACTCAAGCTAGTATGCATTGCTTTACCAATCCGGCTCAAATTTTACGTGCGTTTGCAGCTATAAAGTTGCCAATTAAACGGGTACGAAA